TGTATTTTTGTTGGTATCTCATAGTGCAAAGGTTTAACTTTACAAAATGTGCCTTAATGTTGTTTTTTTTCTTTCTTTTTAGGTAACATTACTTTAGCGTAGCATCTTGTTGTTAGTAATATTAGTATTCAAATACAGGGCAAAACAAGGTTTAAACATTTAGAGGACAATGCAACATAAATGCACAATTCGGAAGGGCCATATTTTATACATAAAGGTTTTTATGGGGATGAGTCAACAATTAAGAAGATCATATGAAAGTTTATGAGGATTTTTACCAGATCAAAAATATAATTAGCTCAAAAAAAATATATCTGAGCCTATCAATTCATCCACAACGAATTCTCTATTTATAAAAACAGAAATCCCAACTAGAAATTAAATATATATATATATATCAATAACATCAACAAATTATGCAATATCCTTTGTAATATACATCTGTGTTCATTTATAATTGATCATGTTTAAAACTGATATAATCACTTGAATATGAGGACAGATCCCAACTTAATTACGAAGACCATATATTCATGTCGCTTCAACATATGACCCAGTGAAATGTAAAGTATTCAGGTGGGTAAATGAATGGGTGATCAGCTAATAAAATCCAGGTACCTGAATAAATATGAAATTAAAACAGATGAAGTTACAGCACTTGTATTTGGTGCATATAAATTACTAGCTTTGTGCTGATGTAACATGTTTTTCTATAAAAACCTTAAAAATAAAAAGTTGAAATTTCTGGAAATATTCGACCAAATAAGGCCCTCATCATACCTTGTCCTTTAAATTGAATTAATCATTTATAATGATCAAAGAAAATGGTCAGTTTATCCCTACCATATGAACATCTGAACTTAGTGATATTTTTCAAGAAATTTTAGTTCTCATAGACTTAAAATGACAAGTTAAAAAGTGGATCGATCACAATCTTACTGTTGATCATTGAACCAATGCATATGAGACTAAAGTCAGATGAACCATTTCAGACATAAATATTCTATTTTGTTTATGTTATGATGCAAAATATTTAAAACAATCTCATAAGAATCTTAACAACATGCTACTTTCAATTATCTCTCTGAAAAAAGTTATCATAATATATACTTTAACAAAGAATTAAAAATGAACTTTTCCTCACAAGTGAAATCAATATAATTTACAACTACAAATAATTAGTAAAAACTAAAAAAAACTAAACATCTTCTTTCTTAGGATGTTTAAATATGATATCATACAACAATCCAAAACCATTTATAGACCTGCATAATTAAATGACAATAAATCACTTTTACTTCTGGTAAAATAGTATACACTACTTTACCAATCAACACAATACTTTAGATTTGCTTAAAATCCTTTCAACTTATAAAAACAATATCAATGAACATTTAACAATAATAAAACATTGTATAATCAGCAGTTGATATGAAGTGTTCAATTTCTACTGGCCATGTGAGTAATATATATATATATACAGCAGTTATTTCAATATATCGCATACAACAATATACAATTCTTAGTACCTAACACTACAAACCAGTAAAAGTCTGAAATGGCCTATATCTGTACTCGACTGTACTGATTTTTACTCGACCAGTCTGAATTGGTCTGAATTTTACTCGACATTACTCGACCCCAGTCTTAACCATACTCGACCGTACTGATTTGTACTTTACCCTTATCTTTGCCATTGAAAATAGTCTGAACTATTACTCGACCAGTCTGAAACAGTCTTAACCCATTCTCGACCTGTACTCGACCAATTTTTTCAGTCTAAACCATACTCGACCAAAGGTCTGAACAATACTCGACCAGTCTAAACCATACTTGACCAAAAAACCTATACTTTTTTTTATTTAGCTGTTAAAATTAATTTCTTTTTTTTCTGACATGACAACAGCCACAATAAAATAAACATATATATAAAAACATATTTTTACATCCTTACATGATTCTCAGATTTATCAAATAGAGATAGTTAAATTAAATTATCTTATATAATAATTTAATTATATTAATTTTAAAGTTTTAGAGTTTTGTTAAAAAAAAGATTTTCTTTTAACTAAAAACCACCCCTTTACTGAGGGTAATAAAACCTTATTAAGGTGCTTCTTGTTTGGCATGTGTTTTTTTTTTTTTTAAACTTAATTTTCCTAAATTCCTTAAGAAAAACTATATAGGTTTCATGGTTACATACAATAGTTATATAATTATCTTTTTAATGAGGTAACAACAGACAAAAAATCACTGAAATTGTTTAACCTTATATTAGAAATATATCTATTCTTATTATAATTTGGGATATATTATATATAATATATACCAAAAAGGGATAAAAAAATTAAAGAAATAGATAAAATTTTTCTTCTGATTAGTGGTAAAGTATAAAGTAATACCTCATGCTTGGGGCAAACTCATTAAAAAGATCACACCTGGTCAGAGAGTATTAATTTCTAATTAACATTCATTAAAAAATGAAACATCCTGTGAATCTTAAATCGCAAGGCCTTTTGAATTCACTAGATAAGTAATACACGAGTTTAAGAAAAAAAGGGCTTTCTTTTTACCTGTAAAACACACATGTACTGAGGTAAATAAACCTTATTAAAGTGCTTCTTGTATGCCATGTCTTTAATTTTGACAAAAGTTATTCAAATTTAATTGAAATAATTTTTTTCTGCAACTTTGGAACACATTTCCTTTTTTAAATGGTTATCAAGGATTGCTATGGAAGTTCTATTATCATGATTATATTAAATTCTTGGTTTTACAAAACAAAAGTGTGATTTTTTAAATTTAATAAGTTGCTTTATATACTATTTTAAATATATTTTAAGAAAAAAAATGTTAACTGCATTATTAACTAAACTCAACTGACACCATAAATCTATACGAGGCTTAAGTTAATGATGAAAATTGTCCTGTAACCATAAAATATATCTGAAACATTCAAAAAAAATTGAATAACATTGAAAACATTAGTCACAATTCAGTTTTGAGATTATTTGATCAGCTTGTTTTATTTTTATTTTAAAGGTGATATATATATGTAAGTGAGGATAAATATGGTGTTGAATTTATACTATGTTTATTGAGAAATTTTGGTTTCAATGCCATATTGAATACATTTTAAATTTCAAATTGTTGTTCAAATTTCTAGCCAGGGGAAATAGCTGTTAAAAACAGTTCCTTATAAATTGTTGAAATACAATAGATAGATACAAAAATTAGGTCTAGGTTGGTTAAGACTTAGTCGAGTATGGTTCAGACTAGGTCGAGTATGGTTCAGACTAGGTCGAGCATGGTTCAGACTAGGTCGAGCATGGTTCAGACGAAAATAAAATGGTTAAGTACTGGTCAAGTACAAGTTCAGACTGTTAAGTATGGTTCAGACTACAGTCGAGTATTATCAAGTAAATTTCAGACCAATTCAGACTGGTCGAGTAAAAATCAGTACAGTCGAGTACAAATATAGGCCATTTCAGACTTTTACTGGTTTGTAGTGTAAGTCACAGTCAGTAACAGTTTAAACTCAGTTCATTGACCATGCTGTCTTATCTCTAAATTATCAGTACAGGTTGCATTAAAAAGATATACTGATTTTTTTAGACTGGGGTACCTTTTTCTACATAATTTATAGTTCCCTTAAAGCATTATTAAGCCAAAGCATTTTTGCACAAAAATATACGACAAATAATAATAAACAAACAATACTCAAAAGTAATAAGATCGCTTTTTGCTAAATGTTCTCTAAATGCAATATATGTTATAGTTGAAATATATTTTTTTCAAATGGTAAAAATCAAATGTTGAAATATCCTTTTAGTAGGTTAAATACTACATATAAAATAAATATTTTTATTTAGAGTTTTATATCAAATATTATTACATTGGTAGCAATGAATTACATTGATTTCCCAGTCAAATAAAAACCGATAATTTCACATGTGAAATAAACATGGTTATTTCACTCTCTGACGTCATACAACAATAGGCGTTGTCAAGACGTCGATAACGTCGGATCAAAACAAATTGTGAATGCGTAGGAAAAAGATATAGTTCCTTACATTTTCTACATTAATTTCATTAAAAAAAGCCATTTGCCAATGTAATAAAAAGAATAACTAATCCAAGAATTCAAATATCGAAAAATATTCAACTCATGACCGAACAACACTGATAATTAACTCATGCGCTATGCGCATTCGTGAATTAATGTGTTGTTCGGTCACTCGTTGAATATTTTTCTCTATTTGAATTCTTCGATTAGTTATTCTATAATTATTAACAATGTAATAAAATCATCAAAGATACTAGGCTTATTATTTTGTAAGCCAGACTCGCATTTCATCTATAAAAGATTCAACAGTAATACTCAAATCCAAAAAGTTAAAAGGTCAAATGTAATTTTAGAGGTATTGTAATTGTTAGTTAGAGGTATTGTATTTAAAAATATTTCAATCAAATAAAAGTAAAATCAATCATACATGTATGAGCAAAAGTTTTATTTTTCTATTAATGAGTATTCAGAATGGGTAATGAACCTGAGGCTCCTGATTTTTGTCTGATAAATTGTTTTTCCTTAAATGTTGAAATTTCCATATAAAAAACAAATAGAAGTAAAAGAAAGAAAAATAAACCCCAGCAACAGATAAATAAACAAACAATAGAGAAAGATAAATAAACAAACAAAAGCAAAAGATTGAGTTGTACTGTACTAAAATTTTCATTTAGGCCAAAAAAAAATTTATGTCTGTTTACAGTTACCCGACTGACCCTCATATGAGCACTGACTCTAAGTCATTTCATTTCCAGAGTTAAGTGAAAAAGTAACCGAATTTGTGTCAAAAGTGAAGTAAGAGTTGCCAATAAATTTAATCAATTGCCTGATACATCCCAATGTTGATCAATGTTCACAATGGTGAATATGACAGCTGTTTTAAGGAAACATGCACCTCGTGTGATGAAATAAACACTTTGCCGCCATTCCCCCCCCCCCAACCAACCAATAACCAAAAGGGAAATATTCCAATCATTAAAAATACACAGTAAACTCCTCCCATGGGCAACCAGGACCTCATGACTCAAAATCATGTTGCAAAAAATAATAAAATGAAAATAGCAACCGACCTACCCTATTTTTTTTTATGATGTAACCTTAAACAGACATATATTTTTTTAGGCCTTAGACTTTTGATCAATGTTAGACATGAACATTTTTGCTGTGATTTCCAAATAACATTTTTTCATTCTCATTATGTTTATCTTTTTTGTTGAAACAAATGACCTAAACAAAAAGGTTTGAATCAATCATATAGACAAATTATAAGCAGTCTAGAGATTTTTGCAGAAAGAAGTTATGTGCAGATAGTTCTTATAAAAGATCCAAATTAAGAGTTTGGGGGTTTGATCAGCACTTAAATCTCATTATTTGAATGACAATTCTTTGATTCATGGTCCTATTATAAACCATTGCAGACATACCGGTATATTAAAAGAAGACAAATATAAGATAGATGATAACAGACATAAAGTGAAGGTAATATCAGGGACAAGATAAAGATTTAGGGACAAGAAAAAGATAAACTCATTGTTATTATAACAAATATATATCAATTAATATCATAATAGAAAAAAAATACTGTGGAAGTTTATCACTTTGGGAGTATTATTGTTTCGGCTTGTGAAAACATATTGGTTAATGGGTTTTTAAATAAGTGGTTTTGAGATTGATTGATGGTTGGTTGCGTAACATACAGTGGCAACATGGTTTTAAGATAAGCAGATTCAGACTTAATGTTAAATATAATTTTTTCTGACCAAAATTTGGTTGGAGATCTATAAAGAATCATGAATCCAACAAAAAATTGTAATCTCAGAACAATAACACATTCATAAAATATCTATAAAAAAACATTAAAAAGAAAATAAATAAAAATTAACAACAGTTTTAATCTCTTTGCATAAAAAACACACTAAAAAAATTTATAACTTGAGTGAGAATTTTAATTGAGGCATATCATGTTCTTTTTCAAAGTGTCATGTTTTTGTTCAATAAACAAAAAACAAGCAATTGTCATTTAGTCTGTAAACATGTTGAACTTTAATTTGTTAAAAACTAAAAACATTGAATTGCTAACATAGCATAACATTAAACAGATCTTTAAAGACATCTATGCTAGTTTCATGTCACTTTTTGCAAGCTTAAAATTTATGCATACAATGGAGTTTATGACCATTAAAAAGTTGTCATTTAGAAAAATAATTGAGGGTTTCCAGAGGCATCTTCATATCTGTATTCTTTAATTATTTATGCCTTCTTTCCTACTTTTTTTTCCAAATATTCTCTAATTTATATTTTATACCACCATAATATTTTCTATTCTCCACCCCAATAATTCTCTACTCCTTAAACTCAGTTTTGTTGGAATTGTTTTGAGAAGTAATAATAATTACAAAATGAAACGATATTAGAAATAAAAAAAAAATGTTTTTCTCTACCAGTCTTTCCATTCTTATATTTGTTCTAGAGCAAAGACATCTTGTTCAAGATGATACTTTATTGACATATGGAATACTGTAAAATACAAAGGAAGGCATAACAACTGTTAGTGTTTTAAGTCCAGTAATTGATTGATTGTTGGTTGTTTATCATCCAGACCCTCATTTCTGATTTGAGTGACAATTCTTATACATTTGCATAAAATTTAATTGCATTTTCCAGAGAGTTTTCATAATCGTACAAAGGTTTATACCCAAGTAAGGTTTTAGCTTTATCATAGGTCACATAAAATGTTGTGTTGTTGAAAGCCAAAGAATTGGTTGTCATGGGAACATTTAACTTTCTGATAGGTCTAATTACCAACAAGATCAAATAAAGAAGTGTCAAGCATATGTACATTAACCAATATGGCAAATACCATGATGATATTTTAGAATTAAGACATCCTAGAAAAGGCTGTAGAAATCCTGTCACTGGATTGGCTGGAGTGTCGTCTGCACCAAAAAAATATTGCCCGCCCAATTCAGGATTTTTTACCAAACTTTCTAGTGCTCTTACAAACATCATGGCTACGTTACCCACATATGCAAACTGGGCATAGGCTTTCATTGGTCCAATACGTGGAAATGTCTTGTTTTTCATGGACTTCATCAAGGGTGTTAAATTGCTGTCAAGTTCACCATACATTGTTAATGGAAGGATTGCTAGTGTCTTCATCTTTTCACCTGAAAAATATTTCAAATTTTTTTACAAGGAATTTACTCTATAATTGGTCAAGTGATAAAAGAAACATTAGACTCTCTATCATGTCATTTACAGTCTCATCAAGAAAAATTCTGCCAAAAGATGAAAACAATTTTATACAGGACTACATATTTTAATTTTCTGCCTGCTGATCAAGAAAGATAACTCACTCTGTCTAATTCTAAAATGAGTTTTAAATAATAATTCTCTTAAATTAAAAAAGTCAAAATGGTGAGTGTCTCTATGTCAACTCAAACTTCTACCTCTCTTTCTGTGCATTATTTAATTCCTTTATTATTTGAGAGAAATGTGAATTATTATGATCTAAATACTGTATAAACTAAAAGAAAATATTAATACACAAGTCACTGAGAGCATTGTATACAAATAAACATCATAATAAACAACAGGCCAAAGCCTTAAACAAAAATTCAATATTATTTAATTATCATCAACCCAGAATTCTTTACAACTATTTAATCATAAAAAGTTATTTGTGATTTTAAAAAAGATGTTCTTTATGTTTGGTAAATAAAAATAATACATTCTCTCTTCTTTATCTATATATTTTCTCTTTTGAATGTTACCTAAAGACTATCTTAGTGTAACATTTGTGTTAGTATAAAAACAAGATGTGGTATGATTGTCAATGAGACAACTATACTAATTAAAATATGTGGATGAAATCATTTATAGGTCACTGTATGGCCTTCAACTATGACAAAAACCCATACTATATAGTCTGTGTATGTAAACACTTTATAATTCTGATCTTTCATTTAATGCTTTAATTAAAGAACCTTTTTTAGCATGGGCACATACCTAACGCCCCCACATTGTCAGTGGGCAAACAAAATCTCACTAGATTCCTAAGTTCAAAGAATCATAACTCCTCCAAATGTCAACTGATAATAATTTCTTGTGGATATGCACATCTACATATTCTGTCCTTATTATCTACAAATATTCAGGAAATTCTGTTGTGTGGTTCCAGATCTACAGGGAGTTGCAATGACAAACTGTTGCAGTAGTATATTTAAGCCCACATTTTAAGTTCAAAGTGGCATAACTCCTATGAAAGTCAACTGATAATAATTTTTGTGGATATGCACATCTACATATTATATCCTTATGATCTACAAAGTTTTATGAAATTCTGTTGTGTGATTTCAGATGAGATGCAATGACAAACTGTTGCAGAAGTATATTTATGCCAAAATTCTGAGTTCAAAGGGGCATAATTTCGAAAAAAAAAAGAAAAATTTCCATTTGATATGCACATCTACATAGTATGTCCTTATCATCTAAAAAGTTTCAGTAAACTCTGCAGTGTGGTTTCAGAGAAGTTGCGATGGCAAACTGTTGCAGAAGTATATTTAGGCCAAAATTCTATGTTCAAAGTGGCATGACTAAAAAACAGAATCATAATTTCCTGTCGATATGCACATCTTCACAGTTATTCTTATTATCTACAAAGTTTCAGGAAATTCTGTTATGTGGTTTCAGAGGAGTCGTGATGAGAAGAGCACGACTGACGGACTGACTGACGAACCGACAGGTCAAAAACATTATATCCTAGCTACGGAACTGTGCTCTGTGGGGTATAATAACATACCATTTTTTAACTGGAAACCATTATCATTAAGTACTGTATTCTGTGCTAAATATTTTGTTGAACCATAACTTGGGAACATGAGTGTTGAGGGGACAGAAACCGTTGTTTCTGTGCCAGCCTGGACATCTTCATAACCTTGTAGTACAGCTATTGAACTGCAGTAGATAAAGATCCCAATATTATGCTTCTTACATGCAGTGAGCATTGTTTCGGTTCCTACAAATAAATAAAGTTTACTTTTATAATTATTTTCAACTAAGAAAGCCAAAAATGCACAAGTTCGATTACCTTAGCTGTATTTGACAAAACTTTCTGGAATTTTGGGTCCTCAACTTTGTACTTTATTTGGCCCTTTAACTTTTTAATCAAGCTATACTAATGAGTCTTAATAAGCATCTGGCATATAAATTTATATGATAAGGTTTTTTTTAAACATTTTGTGATTGGGAAGTATTGAGAGCATGAAACTACCAATACATGAAAATATTCAAATGAGAGAAGTATTGAGAGCATGACAGTACCAAATACAAAAAAATATACACATGAGAAGTATTAATCTCATTGTGGTAAATAATTTCATAGGTACATAAAACAATTTGAAAATAGAAGTGGTTTTTATGACATTCTTACTGCATTTATTTTGATAAAATGTAAATGTTAATAGATTAATTTGCATTAGGTCAACCCTCAAATTGAAAATTAAAATTTTAAAAATACTGCTAAATAAGGCACTTATCACCTTATCCTTTCATTTAAATGAAAAGTTATATTATATTATTTCATCTTATAAGCATTTTGACCACTTTTTACTAAAATAAATTCCTAAAAGTTCTCTTTTAGTGCTATCTTTTATTTATTTCCCTGTCTTCTTCATGGCTTTTAAAATATTTATAATACTACGCACAATTTACATTGATTATTAATTCAACAATGGATCAATTTACCTTTAACATTAACTTCATGAAGACGTTGTTTGTTTGGGAACATGGTTGAATCGATTACAGAGGCGATGTGCAGGACAGCATCCACACCATTACATGCTTCACTGACTATTTCTTCATCTGTTATATTGCCTGTGAAGGAGGTGACAGGTTTGGAATCAGCATAGTCTGAAAATACATGGTCTTGTTAACATTTGTATGTGTGTGTGAAAAGTCATTTTTTTATCTCTTGATGTCTACATGGTGTATAATAATAGTACATTCTTACATTTTATTCTGATAATGTGGATTATTTACTGTAATCATGTATACCAATGGAAAATATACACCAGTGTTGTTTTAATGATAATCCTCAATTGCTAACTTATAGTTTGAAGCAAGATTTACACTACTGCATTGACATTATCTTAAGGTTTAAGTTTTGTTTTGGACATTGCACAAAATCATTTTTTTCATCTCAATTTTTGTTTGTATTCAGAGGCATTTAGATAAGTGAAAGACACCAAAGGGACACTCAAATCCACAAATTGAAAAACAAACTGACAACCCCATGGCAAAATAAGACAAGAGGCTGTCAGAGTGACAGCAAACCAGATTTTCCTGCAGAGGTCGAACCCTGAACAGTTGAGCAAGTATTGACACTACATTTTAGCTTAAAACAGCTCTGAATTTGGATTGTGATTGAATATTTGACACAGCATAGGTTTGTGACACAAAATGAATGTGGTTTAAGAGCTGAAATACTTGAAATTGGACATTTAAGTACCTATTATGGTCCAATATCAAATAAAATGCTTCGCTGGGGCGCAGCTTGATACGACCGCAGAGGTCGAACCCTGAACAGTTGGTGCAAGTATGGACACAACATTCAAGCTTGATACAGCTCTGAATTTGGATTGTTATTAAATATTTGACACAGCATAGGTTTCTGACACAGAAAGAATGTGGTCTAAGAACTTGAATTTTTTTAATTTACCTATTATGGTCCAATGTCCAAAATCAAAATACATGGTTAGATTCAGCATATCAAAGAACCCCATATTTTCAATTTTTGTTGAAATCGAACAAAGTTTAATTTTGGACCCCAACTTGGACAAACTTGAAAACTGGGCCCATAATCAAAAATCTAAACACATGTTTAGATTCAGCATATCAAAGAACCCCAATAATTCAATTTTTGCTAAAATCAAACTATGTTTAATTTTGGACCCTTTGGACCTTAATGTAGACCAATTTAAAAAACGGGACTTAAAATTAAAAATCTAAATACACAGTTAGATTTGGAATATCAAAGAACCCCAATAATTCAATTTTTGATGAAATCAAACAAAGTTTAATTTTGGACCCTTTTGACCTCAATATGAACCAACTTGATAGCGGGGCCCACAAATAAAAAATCTAAATTCATGGTTAGATTCAGCATATCAAAGAACCCCATATATTCAATTTTTGTTGAAATCAAAAAAAGTTTAATTTTGGACCCCAACTTGGACCAACTTGAAAACTGGGCCCATAATCAAAAATCTAAACACATGTTTAGATTTAGCATATCAAAGAACCCTAAGAATTCGATTTTTGTTAAAATCAAACTAAGTTTAATTTTGGACCCTTTGGACCTCAATGAAGACCAATTTTAAAAAATGGGACCCAAATTAAAAATCTAAAAACACGGTTAGATTTGGCATATCAAAGAACCCCAATAATTCAATTTTTGATGAAATCAAACAAAGTTTAATTTTAGACCCTTTTGACCTCAATATGAACCAATTTGATAGCGGGGCCCACAAATAAAAAATCTAAATACATGGTTAGATTCAGCATATCAAAGAACCTCATATATTCAATTTTTGTTGAAATCAAACAAAGTTTAATTTTGGACCCCAATTTGGACCAACTTGAAAACTGGGCCCATAATCAAAAATCTAAATACATGTTTAGATTCAGCATATCAAAGAACCCCATATATTCAATTTTTTTTAAATCAAACAAAGTTTAAATACTGGACCCTATCTTGGACCAACTTGAAAACTGGGCCCATAATCAAAAATCTAAACACATGTTTAGATTTAGCATATCAAAGAACCCCAAGAATTCAATTTTTGTTAAAATCAAACTAAGTTAAATTTTGGACCCTTTGGACCTCAATGAAGACCAATTTTAAAAAATGGGACCCAAATTAAAAATCTAAAAACACGGTTAGATTTGGCATATCAAAGAACCCCAATAATTCAATTTTTGATGAAATCAAAAAAAGTTTAATTTTAGACCCTTTTGACCTCAATATAAACCAATTTGATAGCGGGGCCCACAAATAAAAAATCTAAATACATGGTTAGATTCAGCATATCAAAGAACCTCATATATTCAATTTTTGTTGAAATCAAACAAAGTTTAATTTTGGACCCCAATTTGGACCAACTTGAAAACTGGGCCCATAATCAATAATCTAAATACATGTTTAGATTCAGCATATCAAAGAACCCCATATATTCAATTTTTGTTGAAATCAAACAAAGTTTAAATACTGGACCCTATCTTGGACCAACTTGAAAACTGGGCCCATAATCAAAAATCTAAACACATGTTTAGATTCAGCATATCAAAGAACCCCAAGAATTCAATTTTTGTTAAAATCAAACTAAGTTTTATTTTGGACCCTTTGGACCTTAATGTAGACCAATTTAAAAAACAGGACCCAAAATTAAAAATCTAAATACACGGTTAGATTTGGAATATCAAAGAACCCCAATAATTCAATTTTAGATGAAATCAAACAAAGTTTAATTTTGGACCCTTTTGACCTCAATATGAACCAATTTGATAACGGGGTCCACAAATAAAAAATCTAAATACATGGTTAGATTCAGCATATCAAAGAACCCCATATATTCAATTTTTGTTGAAATCAAACAAAGTTTAATTTTGGACCCCAATTTGGACCAACTTGAAAACTGGGCCAAAAATCAAAAATCTAAATACATGTTTAGATTCAGCATATCAAAGAACCTCATATATTCAATTTTTGCTAAAATCAAACAAAGTTTAATTTTGGACCCTTTGGACCTTAATGTAGACCAATTTGAAAACTGGACCCAAAATTAAAAATCTAAATACACTATTAGATTCGGCATAACAAATAAATAAATGTGATCAAAGATTTTACAAATCTAATGCGCCATACTGTGCAATTAAAGATTACTTCTTGAAATTTTTCAATATTTGAAATTTGAAAAAAAAATAATATTTGAAGAATAATTCTTTTTAATTTCTGAAATCTGAAATGAGAAAAAGTTGACCCCCCACAATTTCTTTTTATCTCCCCCCCCCCCCTTTTTTCCCCAAAAAAATTCTTTCCCTCAAGATATGGTCATAATCTCAATTCAAATTTCCAATGGAGTTGGCAACCATAATTACCCATTTAAATTTACCATAGTGCTAACTTAATCTATTTTATAATAGAATTAAAAATATAGTGTCAAATCTTTCATATGGATTTTTTTGTAAAAAAAAAAGATGCAACATTTGCAGATATTTTCACTGGTCTTCCTTTATAAATATGTATTTCTTTAAACATAATTTAAAAGCAGTGTAAGGGAAGTAACCAAAACGTTGTATTTGGATTACCTCCCTTACACTGTTTTAAATTATCTTTATTGTTCATTACCCATTACTATATACATAATTTAAAAGCAGTGTAAGGGAGATAATTTCAATGATGTATTTGATTTATCTCCCTTACACTGCTTTAAATTATGTTTTGTACTAAAGTATTTGTCCATTAACCAGGACAACCTTGTTTTTCCCCCTTTTTTGCCCCTAATTCCTAAACGGTTTGAGCCATAACCCCCCAAAGCAAATCCTAACCATCCCTTTGTGGTATGGAAACTTGTAGTATAATTTCAGAGAGATCCATACACCGTTCCACAGTTATTGTCTGGAAACTAGAAAATGCTTATTTTTTGCCCCTTTTTGGCCCCTAATTCCTTAACTGTTGGTACCATAACCCCCAAAATCAATCCCAACCTTCCTTTTGTGGTATTTAACCTTATGGTCAAATTTCAAAAAGATCCATTCACTTAAACTAAAGTTAGAGTGCGAAAACCAATGTGTCTTCGGACGAAGACGACGACGACGCCAACGTCATACCAATATACGACCACAAAATTTTTTTGCGGTCGTATAAAAAGTACATATTAGAATCAGCATATCAAAGAACCCCATGAATTCAATTTTTGATGAAATCAGACAAAAGTTTAATTTAAGACCCTTTGGACCTCAATGTTGACCAATTTGATAATGGAGCCCACAATCCAAAATCTCTCAATACATGGTTAGATTCAGCATTTCAAAGAACCCCATAAATAATTTTTTTGTTGAATCAAACAAAGTTTAATTTTGTTCCCTGATTTGGACCAACTTGAAAACTGGGCCCAAAAATCTAATATTTAAATACAGGTTTAGATTCAGCATTTGAAAGAACCCTATATATATTTAATTTATGTTGAAATGAAACACAGGTTAATTTTATCCATAATATTTTCTGTGCAAAGGGAAATAACCCAAACTGGATAAATAGTTCTCTAAAATAAGATATGATGCAATTTTTCAAATTATAATCAATAATATAATAACAACAACCAGTGATGACTAAGTTCTCTAAAATTAGATATGATTTAACACTCAAACATTGCTAGAATCAGCATATCAAAGAACCCAAGAATTCAATTTTTGATGAAATTAATCAAAAGTGTAATTTAGGACCCTTTGGACCTCAATGTGGTATTATCTTATTAATAATGAAAAGAAATACAGGTTTAGATTAAGCATTTCAAAGAACCCTGTATATATTCAATTTATGCTGAAATCAAACACAGTTTAATTTTGGACCCCAATTTGGACCAACTTGAAAACTGGGCCCAAAATCAGAAATCTAAATATATGTTTATTAATAGACAATATAAGCTTAGTTTTTAAAGGAGTTTACTTCATCAAAAAAAAAATATATGTATAGCATTCAGAAAATTAGTTTTTACAGAATAACAAACAAACTTGCCACAAAAGTCTACAAACAATTTACCAAAGAAAAGAAGAAAAAAATCCAAAATTTTATTTATCATTAATACAATGTCATTTCAAAATCTATAAAACTTATCAGTAACAAGAAATAATTGTAACAGAATGCTGTTACGAAGACTCCCAAACAAAGCTCCAATAATTCGTCATTCCCATTGTAGCTTGACATTGGGCAATGTCCAGTACTAATTGGTTTATGATATGCATTAGTGACGCCTATGGATCGACCCTGTATGTCATTCAAATCTTCTTGAAATTACGAACAGGAATTTATATGGTTTAGGGGTGGAGATCTCAACCGTTTACAAGTTCTCAAAAGGGGTGTGATCCCCAGGAGACTCTTCCTTTATTTCATATGATTTGTTTTTTTGTCCTGTACAAGAATATATATGGTTTAGGGGTAGGGATCTTGACCGTTTACAAGTTCTTAAACAGGAGGGGGTGGGGTGACCCCAGGGGACTCGCCTTATATTTCATTTGATTTTTTTTATGGTCCCATACAAGAATATATATGGTTTCCGCATGGGGATCTTGACCGTTTACAAGTTTTCAAAAAGAAGGGGGGTGGGGGCTACCCCAGGGGATTTCCCCTTAATTTCATTTGATTTGTTTCATTGTCCCATTCAAGAATATATATGGTTTATATATAATTAGGGGTGGGGATCTAGACCGTTTACAAGTTATCAAAAAGAAGGGAGGTGGGGGTGACCCCAATGGACTTCCCCTATATTTCATCTGATTTGTTTTATTGCATACAAGAATATATATGGTTAAGGGGTGGGGATCTCAACCGTTTACAAGTTTTCAAAAAGAAAGGGGGTGGGGGTGACCCCCATCTATAATTCATTTGATTTGTGTTATTGTCCCATACAAGAATATATATGGTTTAGGGTGGGGATCTCTACCGTTTACAAGTTCTTAAGGTGGTACAGGGAGATAACTCTGTAAAAATCAGCTAAACGTTTTAATAACGTTGTATTGTAAAGAAAATATTAAGCTTCTCAATGATCAAAATTAGTGTTTGTCAAACTGCTATATAACCAATGAAATTTTTCTGATAAAGTGGTTGGTTCAAATTTTTTGAAATTTTTATATTTTTGTCAAAGGGTCAAAGTAAACATTTTGTCAAAATTTATGAAAATTAAACGAGCCAAATTAATATTAGTCAAGGTGTTGGGTACCACCTTAAACAGGAGGGGGTGGGGGTGACCCCAGGGTACTGGCCTTGTAATTCATTTGATTTGTTTTATTGTCCCATACAAGAATGTATATGGTTTCGGGGTGGAGATTTTCAAAAAAAAGGGGGGTGGGGGTGACCCAAGGGGACTCCCCCTCAATTTCATTTGATTTTTTTTATTGTCCCATTCAAGAATATATATGGTTTAGGGGTGGGGATCTCGACTGTTTACAAGTTATCAAAAAGAAGGGGGGTGCGGGTGACCCCCATGGACTTCCCCTATATATCATTTGATTTGTTTTATTGTCCCATACAAGAATATATATGGTTTAGGGGTGGGGATCTCTACCGTTTACAAGTTCTTAAACAGGAGGGGGTGGGGGTGACCCCAGGGTACTCGCCTTGTAATTCATTTGATTTGTTTTATTGTCCCATTCAAGAATATATATGGTTTAGGGGTGGGGATCTCAATGGTTTACAAGTTCTTAAACAGGATGGGTTGGGGTGACCCCTGGGGACTCGCCTTTTATTTCATTAGATTTGTTTTATTGTCCCATACAAAAATATATAGGTTTTCGCAGTGGGGATCTTGACCGTTTACAAGTTTTCAAAAAGAAGGGGGGTGGGGGTGACCCCCATGGACTTCCCCTATATTTCATTTGATTGGTGTTAGTCCCTTACAAGAATATATATGGTTTAGGGGTGGGGATCTCAACCGTTTACAAGTTCTCAAACAGGAGGGGGTGGGGGTCACCCCCAGGGGACTGGCCTTTTATTTCATTTGATTTGATTTGTTGTCACATACAAGAATATATATGGTTTCAGGGTTAGGATCTTGACCGTTTACAAGTTTTCAAAAAGTAGGGGGGTGGAGGTGAACCCGGGGACTCCCCAAATATTTCATTTGATTTGTTTTATTGTCCCATACAAAAATATATGTGGTTTAGGGGTGGGGATATCAACCGTTTACAAGATAAAAGCACATTCTCAAATTGAAAGGGGGTGGGGGTAAGAATATATATGGTTTAGGGAGACTTAATTATCTACAAAATGTCTAATAATGAACAGTAAATTTTAAATTTCATTTATACAGTCCTATTAGTAAATTTCCAACTTTATATAAACAGTCCTACAGATCTTTTCAGAAAACAGAAAATTTTCAAATAAATCACTCCAATGATATTATATGCTAAGATATAACCCAGATCTAATTAATAATTAATAATGTAATTAACTTCAAAATGTCTACTAATATAGCTTATAATCACTACCACTTAGGAAATAGATAATTTTCAAATAAATCTGTCACTCCAATTTTTATTGTGAGATAAGACATTATGCTTGTCCTAAAAAAGATAACAAGAGTAAAATATTTAAAAATTCCACTTTTGGATATTAAAAATGACGATAACTCACAAAGGAGATATAATAATATCTTGAAAATTGAACTAGACCTTCATTAAGTCCCAGGAAACAACATATTTAAATTTGAAAAAAATTTGTTAAAGTGTTTTCATGTTATTGTGCTGACACTGTTTGGCAGCCGCCCGTAGATCCGCCCAGCTGCCCGCCGTACATCACCATTTTAATAACCGATATTTCCTACGAAAATCTGATTAAAAAAGTATACAAAAAAAACAACATAGAAAAGTAAAGACTGAGCAACACTTACCTCACCAAAAACTGGGTGTGATCTCAAGTGCTTTAGCATGTTTAGGAAGGATAAGCAGATACTGCTCCACATGTGGCACCCGTTGTGTTACTCATGTAGAACTTGACATTTATTGTATAAATAGCTGTCTATTATTGAAAACTAAAAAATCGTCAGAACCAAGTTGTTTGAACTAGTACACTCGTGCGTATGTGTGTGATTAAAGTACCCCTGGTATGCATCCGAATTTTCAAAAATGCTAAAAATATCAATGACACCTTTATCTAACTTTCATTTCGAGTCTTTTCCTGTAGAAATAACACGTCAAGAGCTACTTAAACTCAATCATGCTTTGAAAACACACTGATTTTACGTATCCATGTCTGGTCCGTGTTTTACCATTGTCATGTCAACATCCAGTAATAAGGAAAGTACTTTTTAAACACGAAAGCGAAGTTATTAACAGCATTATTTTGCACAATTAAAGAGCCTTAGGCAGATATTAGTACGCTGATTATGCACATTTCAAATAGTGCACTGTCAATTTAACAGTTAAAACCAGAACATCAAATTTACATTTATATTAAAAATCAAGTCAAATAGCCTTTTTTGTGTCAATCATAATTTATATGATGCCTTTTGTTACGAAGTCTTAAGGGATTAAAATCGGGAAAAGACCCAAAAAAAATGTCTGGCTGGCTCAAATATTTTTTAGAAGCCCTGGTCTATATCCTTCTCATATGATTTTTGTTATCACAATAAACTCATAATAGATACCAGGATTAAAACTATGTGCATCCAACGTTTCATCTACAAAAAGACTCATCATTGATGCTCAAATCAAAAAAGTTAACATGGCCAAATAAAGTACAAATTTGAAGGGCATCATTGAGCATTGAGGACCCAAAATTCCAAAAGGTTTTTGTCAAATACAGCTCATATAATTTATGTTTACCTAATTTTTTCTTGAATGGTAAACAATCTAAAATTCTGATCTCTTTCACACAGTCACCGTATAACTGAAGATGTTTGATCACATGTTGTCCCAGAAATCCACTTCCTCCTGTTACCAAGACAACCAATGAACCCATAATATAGCATCAGTCTGTTCTTCAAGCCATGTTAATTATATTTCTGAAAATAGAGAATAAAATTTTGAATGAGTTTTCTTTACGATACAGGCACTGTTCCATGAAAATATACATGGGTACTGGGAAGGAACATCCAAATCTTAACTACTGTAAATTCATATTTTATTGTACATGTTTGCACTTACTTTTACAATTTTTAAAGAATGGACAACAATGCAAGATAAATTATTGCTATTTCAGGAAAGTATGCGAACAGCTACATGTAAACATGGTAAGTGTATTAGATATTAGAATGAGAGTTTTTATTAAATATTGCGATATATACACCCGGTCTCATTATTTGCAACAATTTCTGACTTTACAGTATTATTATGACTGGTTTGGTGTCAAATAATTTTAATGTACTGTATTGTGAAAATGTAAAAGTAAGAATATCAAAAATACTGAACTCCATGAAAATTCTTAATGGAAAGTCCCTAAGCAAATGGCAACATTAAAAGCTCAAACACATCTCGTTGAAAGTGTCATCCTTTTTCTAAAAAATTTCATCGTAAGATACCAAGACCTTGTTGTAAGTGAGTTTCTAAAATGTCTATTTATGGTTACTAAAATTTGGTTTTCCTAAGTGCCTTCCCTTGTATCATACATGTATATAAAAATAGGAAGATGTGGAATGATTTCCAATGAGACAACACTCCACCAGAAGTATGTTTTAATGGAACAAGCCTGTGAAGTTTTAAATTGAACTTTGTTTAATGTATTGCTGTAGAAAGAAAAATAATGGGTTTTTTTATTTGCAAAGGGAGATAATTGTGATTTGCTTGTAACTTTTTAATCTATATACATTGTAGCTACTTTGAGCTATGTGCAGAGTCTCACTGGTTTGTGAGGATCATTAAAAAAGTGTATTTTCCTTATTTATGGGTATTATATGAGCTGTCAGATAAAAGTCAACCTTATGCAAATGCATATCAATACATATGTTAATCTTTTTCGAGTTTAAAAAATTTCTATGCTAAGTCTGCTACTGTTTGAAAGTTGAGTTGATTGAGAATCCTTCAAAACAGACCAAATTCATCTTTTATTTTGTATTTGAATGTTTTAAAATCAATCAAAGTCTTACACATGTACATGCACATATGCACTTGCAAAAGGTCGATTCCTATCTGATGCAGCTCATATTATGAAATCAGTAATCAATTTCCAATGATAAAAATTCTTTTTAAATCATGATAATGACTGTCATAGTTCACATACACATGTATGTGTACTCTAATAACAGTGCCATAAATTTACACAAATGAAAATGTATTGGTATAGAGTTAAGAGCACATAAACATGATAAAGCCAGGGCCTAATCTAGGATTTTGAAGAGGGAGAAGTGACTTCTCCTTCCATGAGAGAGAAGGGAGAAGTGGTCAATTTCTTGGAGAAGTGAGATTCCATTACCGTTTCGGTTGCATCGTGTTTTCATGATTATCACTAAGGAAATTGTTTTAACTTCAATAAAAGATATACTTGCAGTTTTTTCATATGTTATTGTACACCATGTATATATAGAAAGTTCTTAATAAAAAGGTTTAGACAATTTATAGTTGTTATTTATTTATTGATACCGTTGTGTTGAACTGTTCTAAATAAAATTTGTTGATTGGGACATGAGGGAGTAGCCTAGTAATATTATCATGATTTTGATGCATTAAATTCATGTGCATCTGCCTCAATTTATTTTTAAAACTCCAGGAAAATATGATTCCCAGTTTACCTGATGAATTTTACATGACTGGGAATTTAATTTACATCACCACTTGTCATTATTTTGTAAATCATTATTGAATGTCCAGGACATTGTGTTAGTTGTAAATTGAGATTATCGTTAAAGATTGTAAGTCTATGAATGGAAATATCTTTCAATCGCATATTAATTATCCGATAAAGAGCTAATTTCTATCATTTTTTTGAAATATCATCCATATCAACGAAGTGGTCATGAGAAAAAATCCACTGCTGATCACAATCTGGTCGAGTGTCGTACGTTTGCAATCACATTATCCATTAGCTGTCTTTCTACCTTTTATATTTCAATTTTTATTCAATGAATATAATAAATCTACCGTTAATTCCCACCTTTAACCTACCGAATAGTAAAATTGATCGACTCGTGTAAGTAATAAAAATAAAACAAATCAGCTGAGTGATTACGCAACATCCTCAGATGAAAATCATCGTAAAATGATAACTTAAACATACGGTCAGTTTTCCGTTTGAACAGTTTTGAAAGTTATATCCGAGGATGTTCAAAGTCGCCGTTGTATTTATTTAATTTGATCGTTGACAGTATTAGTCCTGGATCGTTTCGAAAATCTCGATTTTCCTTGTCAGCCGCCATTTTTTTACCTGTGAGACTTGTCAATCACAAGTTGTCTCCCTTTTACCGATTTGACTTCGCTATGAAGTCAGTCGGATGGCGAGATTTAGCGATTTTCAAAATTCTTTGGCGACTTAAATCGTCATTTCGCCGGCAAGATTATGGTCTGAAAGCCCTTCATCCAGTCAATAAATGGTTTTGCATTATACAAGCGTCATGCTTACATGAATAAGACATATTTACACTAAATCCCTTTGTTGTGTAAGTACTGATTGATATACCAAATGTCTGAGAAAACATAATTTCTGTGTTACATGGAGTTGTAATAAATGGGCTCTAAGAAGATTTCAATAACTAGGAGTATTATGTCTGTATTTTGTCTGTTATTTACCATGTTTACTTGATTTTTCTGCTATGTGTCAATCTGATAAAAATCAGTAGTGTTAATTTTGTTTTTGTTACTAGAAAACTAATCAATTATAAAAGAGAGGCAAAAGATACCAAAGGGACATTTAAACTGATAAGTCACAAATAAACTGATAACGAAATGGCATAAAATAAAAAAAGAACAACACACAAACAACAGTACACAAAAATTTTTAAACTAAATTTAGAAGAAAAAAAAAGAAAGAACTGCCAAAACAACAAACCCAAACTCACCCATGGACCAAATTTTAAAATGGTTGTACTAATTGAAAACAATGAAGCTGAGTGAATTATGTGACATCCCCCATGTACATTGCATAGGGAGAGGTAGAATGCTAACACACAGATTTAAACACCACAACCAGGATGATTTTATTTCAGTGGTTGTCTTAAATTTTGTTGCAAATTTTGCAAACCCCTGGCTTCCCTTATTTGATTTGTTTCTCATTTTGTCATGCCTTGGCCTTATAAAGCTGTTTAAAAACAATAAACCAAAAACATATACTGCAGCAAAACTTTCATAATGATAAATGACAACCCCTTAATTCAAATGAAATTACAAAGAATCCCAAAAGGGATTTATAAAGTCCTAGGTAGTCCAAACTAGAGGCTCTCAAGAGCCTGTATCGCTCACCTGACTCTACTTTGGTTTTGAAAATCATGTAAAAATAGATAAAAATCATAACAGATACCAAAATAATGATTGAGGCCAAATTTGGTTTAATATTGGCCCCGTAATTTAATAAAATATCCTGGTGGCCATCTTGAACAGTAAATCGGCAACAAAGTAGCAACACTTCATCAGCACCTCATTAGGAACATTTTTGCCATGTTTGGTTTCATTCCATTCAGTGGTTCTCTAAAAGAAGACACTTGTATGTAATTCCCTGAGGGTCCTATGTTAAACGAAGTCCCCCGATGGCAGCCATCTTGGATGATGGAGCGTCTTCAAAGTAACAACACTTGGTCAGCACCTCATAAGGAACATTCATGTCATGTTTGGTTCCATTCCATTCAGTGGGTCTCTAAAAGAAGACATTTGAATGTATTGTCCATAGGGTCCTATGTTAAACGAAGTCCCTCGCTGGCAGCCATCTTGGATGATGGATCGGCTTCAAAGTAACAACACTTGGTCAGCACCTCATAAGGAACATTCATGCTATGTTTGGTTTCATTCCATTCAGTGGTTCTCTAAAAGAAGACATTTGTATGTATTTCCCTTAGGGTCCTACATGTATGTTAAACTAAGTCCCCAGCTGGCGGCCATCTTGGATGGTGGATCAGCTTCAAAGTAACAACACTTGGTCAGCACCTCATAAGGAACATTCATGCCATGTTTTGTTCCATTCCATTCAGTGGTTCTCTAGATGTTCAAAATGTAAAAAGTTAACGAGGACGACGACGACGACGGACACCAAGTGATGAGAATAGCTCACTTGGCCCAAAGGGCTAAGTGAGCTAATAATTGTATGGTCTTAAAAAACTATTTTTATTTGCAAGTAAAATATAAATACAGTGGAGTCCCTGGTGTCTGCATGGCCAGTGATATCGCGCATTACCAGATTTCTTCATATCCGCAAGGTAACACAAATAGAATCGTTCTTATAATTGTTTTAGTCTTCCAAAGGGACAGAAAAGATTAAAATTGATCAGTTCAACATGTTCAAGAGTTAATTTATAACTGCAATCCAATGATTAACCATATTTAGCCAATTTCCATTAAAAAAACTTACATCATCACATAAAATTTGTTTCATTTAACAATGTTTAAGTCAAATTTATATCAGATTGAAATAAATATTGCTCTGCATCCTTGGCCATGTTGGCAGTCTGTTTGGTCTTAATTCAACAATAATATTTCGTAGTATAAAATCTTTCCTTTATTCAAAATAAGTTATTATAAGGTGTAATACCACCATTGATTTTCCCCTATTAGTCTTTGTTAAATTTGCACTTTTCAAAAAATTGTGCAGAATTTATCTTTGTTTCAAACTGGGAACAGTATATCTAACTAAATATATATGTTCCTGTTTCAAATAAAGAAATACTTGGCATGAGTAAAGTTTTATCCTGTCCAGTACTATAGAAAAAATTTCACATAACATTTCATTGCATATAAGAAAATAACCATCGCTGGAAGTTAACCAATCAAATTTTCCCCCTTTTTTAACCTGTATACAAGCTTTAGTAACCATGTAACCTCAAGTTTCCAAAATATTCTATAGAAACCCCAAATAAAAAAATAATGGTGCTTTGAAATACCCAAGATATATGTTTATGACCCAGAAATGATTTACTGCAATGAAATGTAGGATCAATTACCTACAACTGTCAAATTCAAGGGAATATTTTTTTTCGACCTATTTTCGTATGCAACCGGATGTGACGTACTATGATTTGGTGGTACATGTATTACACCTTTTAGAAGGCATGCGCGAAATCACCAGAAATTTGAAGAACTCTGGAAACAGGGGTTTCCCTAATTTTGGACACTTATTACACAAAATCTGAACATGCTTAAGGGTGAAACCATACATAATGATACAGAAGATTTTATGAAATACAAGTATGTTATGAATTTGTTCACACAATATTATCCAATTATTGGTTTTATCAGTTTAATAAAGTGATTCATAAGTCTTATGTGTGCGGATACCATGGCAGTATAATCAGTTCGTTGATTGTGGCCATTATCTGGCAGAAGCTGGCAGAAGATACACCGGACTACAAGCTAACCTTAAGCAGTGATTTTGCTAGCTCTCATCACTTTCGTAATTTACGAAACTGTTTTCAAAATGACAAAAGTATTTCAAATCAATTTCGTCACTTAAATTTGGAAACTGTAAAAATATTTTCGCATGAAAATGCTATAATTCTACCTGTCTACATGTTTCTGACAAGTTTATGACCCTCAGCTTATTAACATTTACAACAGGTGTTATAAAGTTGTGATTACAGCTAATCCGCTTATCGGCATCGGATGGGTCAATAATCCAGTTAATTATTTTCCCCAGTAAAGTTAGTCAGTCTGCGTTTTAATTTCAATATTTCTCAAGGCCAACGACCACAATTTGCAGTTTGTTTGTCGTAGTTTCGTCATTTGAACAAAATTGTTTTCCCCCGGACAGTTCGCTTTTTAATTTCAATATTTCTAAAACGATCATAATTTGCAATTCGTTTGTCGTAGTTTCGTCAAATGATCGTATATTCGTCATTTTTGATATAAAACGTTCAATTTCGATTAAAAAGATAGAACTTTATTCAAAACGTTCAGAAATGTTTTCACGTTAAAAACTTCCATCGTCATCAACGAGTCAAACAGATGCTTCTTTTACGATATACTGCGCATGCGTGAAAGTATTCCTATAGACACTAAAACGTAAAATACGAAATAAATTTAGTGCCAAATATAGTTCTTACTAAGCAAAAAAAAGGAACCCAACTTTTGTTGATCAGGAATGTCCCCTGAAACTAATTGCAGTATAATTTTGAACTAGATTTTCAGATCTTACATTCTAATCCAGAGGCGGATTTAGGGGGGGGGCCCGGTGTCATATGGTATTTTGAACCCCCTGAAAAGTGAACCCGGGGTCAATTTACCATGGGGTTCAAAATACCATATGACACCTGCCCCCCCCCCTTTTTATGGGAAAAATTTGGTTGATTATATAGGGAATCACTGAAACATGAATGGAGCGAGCCCCCTCTTAGGCAGTCAGTGGGCCCCCACTTATGAAAATTTCTGGATCCGCCACTGTAATCTTCATATTTTAGTGACACATCAGTCAAATCATGCAATTATTGCCTAGTAAATTGATGCCCTACTCCTTCAAAGTCTGACAAAGATGTATAGCTAGTAATATGAATACATCCTTGGTCCATTGCTGTTACCCAAAATAATGTTGATTTTCATCTCGCGCAAAAGTGACTAAAGCCCTCAAAATCCTAGCTTAAACCCTGCTTAAAGGAGTGCCTTTTTACAACAGAACACAAAAGAATACCCTAGAACAACCAAAAGAGCTTCCAAATATTGTTTCTTCACTCATTTACATCATTATTGTTGTTATTGTTAATTCTTTCTATAACTTGAAATTTATCATTCCAAAATAAATGTAGATTTTCGATTCAGTGGCTTTTTTAGGGGGAATTTTTCATCTGGTATTAAGGGGTAGGAAGTGGGAGTATGAGGAGGGACTTTTGAGTAGAGGGTATAGAAGTGGGAGTCAGGGACCCCCTGTCCAACGACTATTCTAACACGTCATATCTATTTGTTATTAATGTTAAAGGATGAGTGTCCAACCTGTTACGTGTTCAAAGTTTTGAGGGTTTCCCGGTTAGAGGACATAAAAATCTACAGCAAAAATTGTATTTCAAGAAAAGAGAAGTATACTTCTTTTCATCTGAAATGCATCAACAATTTTAAATTTTTTTCTATAAGGAAAACCTTTTTTTCTGTTGAAACAGCTGCGAACAATCATTCACCGGAAATGTCATTAAATTCTAATTTATGAGTCGAAAGACGGATAGGCTTGGCTTCCCGGCAAATATTTCTGGCTCATGAATAAAGCTTTCGAGCGTTTCGGCCACAAACCCTTTCGACAATATGTCGTTTAGGCCATACATTACTTCGGCCTTGGTCGTTTCGGTCCGTTATACATCTTTTCTTAATGTCCGTTTCTACCAATGTTTTGAATTCAATAATAAAAAAAAAAGAGGTAGGGGAGTCCGGGGATGAATGAGACACTTAAGTAAATATTTCTTACAATTTCACTTACAAAATGTCACAGTAGGCAGAGCCAGGTAAAGATTAAAATTTTCTTATTTTTATCAGCAGATTTTAATCTAGATTAAAGTAGATCAAAATATATACCCCCAATCAGGAACATATATATTGTTAGATATACTGTTCCCAGCCCCAATCTAAAATGCCAAATGGTCGATACAAAAATTATTTGAAAAAAAGAAAATTATTGTTTTGCTCAGTTCAAAATATTATTTTAATATATATGTACTGGACTAAACAATCATTAGATAATCGTTTACACCAGGGGCGGATCCAGCCATTTATAAAAAAGGGGGGGGGGGGGTTCTCAACCAAGGATAAGGGAGGGGGGTTCCAACTATATGTCCCCATTCAAATGCATTGATCGTCAAAAAAAGGGGGGTTCCAACCCCTGGAACCCCCCCCCCCCCCTCCTCTGGATCCGCCACTGGTTTACACTACAGATACGTTTTCTATATTATTTAATTAGATAATTGGATTAGCTTAGTGATAAAATTAGTGTCTAAGTAATTGACAGAGTCGTGTGTCTCATCATAAACCAATCAACTTGTAATTTAATTAAATCATTTCAAAACAAGACTGCATGTCACCTTTTTGTTTGTTTACTGTAATTTTGTGGAGATCCGGGCCTTAAATAATGTGGAGGCATGTTGGCAGTTGCCTCCTATGGCGGGCTAGGGTACCAATAATGTTTAACCAATTTTATAGCGGACACACATACAACTTACCGACTTACAATAAATACATAATACATGTAAATATCGCATCTCATTTGGTACTGGAAAAAAGGTACCGGTTAAATTTGAATAAGAAATTTCAGCATAGGTTTCAAAGGAGGTGTGGGTGATTCCATCAACCAGACAGAAACAAAGTAACAGAAATTTGAGACAGACTATTTTGTACGATTTTTTTCTGTTTTCCCGCTATTAATCGCAAGAACTTTGGAGCTGCAATACAATTAAGTAGGACAAAACATAAAGACATGAATGCGAATATCTGACAAACATATGTTTTGTGAACATTGCATGGATACAATAGGCTATATTTGTACTCATTTTTATTTTCGAATATAAGGGACAAAAAGGAGCCGTTCCACACCTTCCATGATTTTATAATTAATCATAAAAAGCCAGAAATAACAGTAATATCATAAAAAAAATACTGGAATGGACAATACACGTTACCAATCACCAATATCTGACTTGTATTTCCAGTTGGAACATGCTTAGACCTTATACGGTGCAAAATAACGAAACATCGAAATTAATTTGAAGGAACAATGAAAGTTTGTATTGATTACCAAAGATATGCAAAGACCAAATCAGATACAGAAAATAATATGATAAAAGTAGACAAGCACACAGTGACTGTTCTTGACTTGAAAAACAACACATCTCCTTAACATGGAACTATATGTCATTCTTTTTTTTATTATTGGGTTTAACTCTAAACAACCATGGCTATATAAGTTTTGATTAGTTAAGGACATCGGAGTACCCTCGGAGAGAACCAAGACGACCTTCGGCTCATAATGATGATAGTCCGAGAAACTCACTGCCAAGGTCAAATACCATATACATACATTTTGTATACATTCACTGAGCAAAGCTCAATAACAATACTTTAAATGCTTTTATCTCTCTTTATTTATATTCAGATTGTGTGCATACATGTTATATTGCCATTGCACAAGATACATAATGTTTTTATTGTATTATTTATAAAGTTGATATGAAATCTATTTGGAAGTTCCAACAGTAATATATACATTTGTATTACTCTTTTTTTTTATCTTTGATGTTTGTTTCGTATTGAGATCCCGAATTGAAACGTGGGCATGCATTTAAGATTTTTGTAGTATAACATGCACAATATAGGTAAAATGTATCCCACATTCTTAATTTATGACAAGCTCTTTCGTGCACACGTGAAGCCACACATTGTTTGCCTGTACCAAATGAGGCTGTGTAGACCACGTGTTGTTCGTTGTACTTTTAGTTTTTACTCTTATATTAAACGGAGAGTGAGTAATTGGTAAATGTGAAAAGAGGAGAAAGGTATGTTTTCTTATACACTTAATAATAATACATTTAAGCCGAACCTCAACCTCGGAGGTATAAGAATAATATGCATGTATCCTATATATTTATCAAGGTATTCCCGTTCGTTAAACGCTGACATTTATTTTAATCACAATCACAAAATTCAGCAACATTTCATTGATGTAACTGATACTCAACACATCGTGCTGGCTGGTATAAAAAAGAAGATGTGGTTTCAAATCCGCATATGCTCACTTTACAGGTAGAAAGAGGGTGTGGGTTGGGGTTTACAGAATAGAGAATAATGGGCAAAAAATATAAAGAATAAAGGAAAATGGACCCAAAAGACAAAGAAAAGAGAATATTGAGGTGCTTCGACAACAATAGTATCTTATTCTAACTACTTCGTTTGGACTATATGGTCGTGAAACGTATTATCAAAGTAAACACATGATTGTCATTTTCAGAAGCTATAAACATTCCTGAAAAGAAAACTGATAGTCAATGTTTTCGTTTGTTATCAATATCAACATTTTTGTATGATGTTTGTCATATTTTTTTGTCTTGATGAAATTTGCATTCAGTTACAGTCTTCTATGTTGTAGGGGACCGAGTGGTCTACGTAGTTTGTAATTATTGTATCAGCATTCCTTTCAATACTGAAGAAGTGAGTTGAAACCCTGTAAGTGGCTTCAATATTATTAATAATTCATATGACTTGGATTGCCAGTTTTCCTGCCTAAGGTCCGTGGTTTTCCCGGGCATTCATAAGTCCTCTAACATTAAAACGTGACCACCACGAAATAGCCAATAGTGCTGAAAGTTGCGTTTAACTCCAACAAATCAATCAATCTGTGTTGGAGCTGATGTAGTGACTATATTACTTTAAATTCAAGCAGTTGCTTCCATTAAAAACAAAATTAATAGATGTGAAATTGATCAATAACAAAAACTGTTTACAAAAATCAAGAGTGTGGGCCTCCTTATTTTCTGTTCTTCTTTTTCGTTTACCGTAAACATAGTGTGGTCTGTATTTCTTCAACGTATGAGTTTTCAGTGCCATACTAATTTCTCTCCCCTGTTTGGGTAGCTCAAAGAATCGATATTTTATTTTATATTCCTTATAAGTTGGTCAAATCGATGATTACATAATCCAAAGGATTAATTGCAGTGTTCGCACACAAAAATTAATTAAATGTTGATGCATATAAAAAAGAAGATGTAGTATGATTGCCAATGAGACAACTCTTCACAAGAGAACAAATGACACAGAAATTAAAAACTATAGTTCACCGTAAGGTCATATTCATTTCTCTAGAACGTTTTAATGACGTTTGGGTAACGCTTTGAAAACTTTTAACCAATATGCATTTCATTCTGAAATTGATTACATTATACAAAAGTTGCTGGATATTGTTGATAGACTATATTAAGGCAAGTCAAATATTCAGATGGGTTTGTATCATTATCCAGTGACAAATATTACATACATACCAGAACTAGATTATGTAATTGTGAATTGAATACGAATCCTATCTTATACCAGACCGAAAAGTTAAGCTGAATTTCAACGTGTAAGTTCACAAGTCCCCGAGGATATCAACAGCTTAGTAGTCAGTACTTCGGTACTCAATTGAATTAAAATACAGTTCTCTGATTTCGTTATCCTTATATGTACGAGCACGCGAGTTAATACAGGTATGAATTTTAATAAGATTGTTCGGTACTGACATGATTTATAACAAATCTTTCTAAAATTGTCCGTTTATAATTTTTTCTAGAAACTAAGGGATAAACTCCCTATTGTAAAATTGATCTTAGATGGATTAGACTATTATTTTAGGTCCTTTCGGGCCATATAGCTCTTCAAATGTTTCAGTACTTATATATCCTTAGTTTTCAATATTCGGCATCGGTCGTTCCTGATGATGAAGGCAAATCCAGAAAAGCGCTTCGGACGAATGCAATTTATAAAGTATCGTTCTCATTAATTCACAAGGTAACATTCCACAAAAAGCATGTCAACCTTTCCGGGCACACTATTCTGACCCAGTACCGCCTAGTTTGTATGTCAGTGGTTGTCGTTGGTTCATGTTTGTCATATTTATTTTCCGGAAATTGTTTTGTTATAAATTATGCTGGTAGTTTTCTAAAATAAATTCGGTAAAAAGACGTATTCTTTCTATCATAATTCTACAAAAATGGTAAAATAGGTAAACAGTTAGGGATGTCATCGAGTATTCGAGTATCGCTTGGTAGTACCGAGTATCGAATACCAAAATGATACTCGACTAATCAGTTTCTGTTGTTGCCTTCTTACTTAAAGAAAACATATTTTTATAAAGAGCGCCTCCCGGTAAATTAGATATTAATAAAAATTAATCAAAAATCAAATACTTTTCAAATGTTTGCTTTTAGTTGTCATTTAAAATTCCCTCGAACAGATGTAGGCTATGGACAAAAGCAACTTTCCAAGGTTTCACTTTTAGCATATCGTCTATTAATTTTTTTTTTATCATTTTTTACTAAGCACAAATTACATCTATAAGAGGGTCTAAGGCATAACAGTTGCATGTATGAACAACAATATAATGACGATATTTATATTCACATGAAAATAAAAATATTAAATACACAACACAACAAATGACTTAAAGTGCCCCCTGTGCTCAGTTCCATAGACTGTTTAATAAAGGAGCCTAAATATTTCACTTGCTGACTAGTACTGTAGTTGGATTTAGAATATATTCCATTTGGTTATCAGAAAAAAATCATTGAATTGGGGTTTTAAATCGTTAAAAAATACATTAATCATTCCACCACTTCTGTACCACAGAACAAGTATACTCATCAGCAGGACTGTTAGTTACGTAACAAAGTTAAGAAATCGACTCGTCCCAGAAAAAGTCGAAAAGATAATATTAAATCCGTTGCAACCTGTCGACACTCAGAGAATTGTTTAAAGTATAGTTCTAATCATCATTAAATGGGTTTTTTACGGTTACTGTTTTCTGAGTAATTTTTTTTCTATAGATGTTTATCAATTAATTGATTAGATTATTGTCAGTTAACATAATTAGTGCATGTTGAAGATGAGCTATTACTTATGGTATAAAATTCCTTGGACTATTATCTAGTCCTAAGTAATAGTGTTGAGGGTTTTTCGTCAATAAGACAACGACCCTCAACCAACACGTAAAATGGGTTTGCTTCTGTGTTTCCATTTTGTAGATTTTTTTCCGAGAGAGTACTCGAGTATCACTGGGTAAATTCAACGTGTACATGATTAGTAAATCTTCACCGAGTTGAAATGCCTCGACTAAAAACTGTTACTAAGGGGTAATAACTCAAACATGTATAAGGAGTCATTTGTCAGTTATTGGCAATGTTGACTTTTTTGTAGATGTTATTGTGATGAACATCTTTGATATATACAATTTCTCTCTATCTTTACTGATTTCCACAAACAAATGCATAACATGGGTAAAAACCATCTTTCAACGGCAATAACTTCGAAGAGAGGGCCATGTTAACCTATTTGTAGATCGTATTTTTCTGAACATTTTTGCTTTTTGCAGTTTCACTCTTTATTTTATGGTACATGCAAAGAAACGGAGAATGTATCTATGGTACACAGTTGATGCATCGGTTTGCATAAAGGGACATAACTCAAGAACGGTAAAAGTATTAGTGACGCAACCCAAATTGATATCAAATTCGAACTTGATCTGTGTTTTGTGGATTGATTATAAATTTCATAACATTTGGTTATGGCAAAACAAACGGAAACTAATTTTGGGACGGACGGACGGTGGGTCAGACGGACAGACGGACAAGGGTAACACTCAATGCCCACTCTGCTGCGGCGGGGGCATAAAAAGACCAACATCATATTTCGATCAAAATAACTCCTATTACGGGGCAATTCACAGTTTTGTTGTAGTTATTGCCTTTAACAGTTTCTCTCGATCTACATGTATTATTGATTCCGTAAAGATAGGTAAAACATAATCATCAAGAACAACAACTCATGTAAGGGTTAAAATAAGAAGTTTGTCTTGTTTGTCTATTTGTGGAATTTATTTTCTTAACATTTCAAATTCACAATTTCTTTCTTTGTTTTATATTACTCGCTAAAATAACTTTAAAATTTGTAAACAATTTATATTTCAGGAGCGTTGAATCCTAAATGGGTTGTCCTACTATTCTGATAATTACATAGATGAACCTGGACCGGTTGATAATTTTTTACCTGGCGGTTTTGCTAAAACTAATGAAATGTTTGAGATATACGAAAAAGGGCATGTTACCCATAAATTTTATTTTGAGCAACAATTTTTGATGATGGATGAAATGGTTGTTTCAGACAAATACATATTTTTAAAGTTACGACGACGGTTGATGGACGGACAATAACGACAGACGCCAAGTGATGGCTAAAGCACCAATGACCGTTTATAGCTATAACAAAATGTAGTGGTATCGTTGAATATCAAGGAACACATTCCAATAAACTGTCAGGGTTATGAATTGCAAGAAAAGACACTATTATTATGATTTTTTATTATATATTTTTCTCCTTACTAATTTTCTATGGCCCAAAAAAGTTTGAAATACTTTTTTATTTCTAAAATACTAACGTACACGGACATAACTTTTATTCACTATAAAACTAACAAGTCTGTAATTCTTAATTACACAAAAATACCAATATCTCACCCGCAGAGTGATTTGAAACGAAAAGTTTAGACCTATCGTTACTGAAAGCCAGGCCATAGGGTGATTTTAGTCCATCTTTTGTTGTCAATGTAGTTTTAAGAGATTTATCTTCAAATGAAAACAGCTTAAGATTTGATGCTTGGTATTCCAGGAAATAGACATTTCCTATTCTGTCGCTTTTAACACCAATCACGTTGTAAGTATCTTTAGCAGAGATAGACGTAACTGTTCCATCTAATCCAATGCAGTTCAGTTTTGATTTTTGCACATCAGCTTGAGCATAGTAAAGCTGATGATTTTGTCCAACTGATAAGGAGTGAACTTTGCTTTCTCCAACATCAAGTGTCTTCTTTAAGTCACCGTTTTTACTGATAATGTATATCTTGCCGTTCCCACCAACAGCAATTTGATCGTCAATAATAGCAATACCATAACAGTAGCATGGTACTTTTATCAGTGGTCCCTTCTTAATTGTAGAAATATTTACTGTCTGAATGGACTGTATCTCTGGTAGTGTGACCCATGCTGTATTTTTGTCTTCTTCCATAGCAATCCCCCACTGTTTCCCATCCATTTGAATTGTTGCCAATGTTTTGCCTTTGTCAGACATAACAAATAAAGTTGAACTGTTCCAATTACACAGGAACAATCTATTGTCTTTTGTCACACTTATCCCGACAAGGTTTGAACCAGGTACTTTAAATTTAACATCTAGCTGAAATTTAGATGGAAGCTTTATCTGTTGTTGCAATAGTTGCGCTTGCTGAATCTTAAACGGTTTGTATTTGACATCAAGGAAAGTCTCATTGATTTCAACTGTACCAAAAGATTTTATAACAGATAACAAATCGGACTCTTTCAACGAAAGAGATACATATTTTTGAGACGACACCAGCTTTTGAAAATCATTTGCATGGCAGTTCAGTTCTTCTTTGATATTATTTATCAGCATAAATATTTGACTTTCAGATCCATATGTTGATACAGAATTAATCTGTTCAGAAATATTTTGTATCTTTCGTCTTCGATCACATATCTTTTCAAGGTTGTCGTTTGCTTCATTTGAGAGGTCTGTATGAATTGTGTCTATTTCAAACATTAAAGATGCTTCAATTTCTTCAATGCGTTTTAAGAATCGTGCTTTGAAGTGTTTAACGTCTTGCTGAACTGCCATCTTACTATCTTTAAGACTGATCATTACCTCTTTCCTTTTATCTTCCAGCTCGTTTATTGCGGAATTTAGTGTAGTGACATCTTTGAAAATGTCTTCATACATGGTTGAACTCTTGACCCCTTTCGCGGATACTTCAATTGGAAGTAACTTGTCACATGAGCGATGAGCGCTAGCCATACACGACCGACAGCACATTGTATCATGATCGGAGCAAAAATATTCTAAAACCATATCGGGATGAACTTTGCAAGATTTATTGACAACAAATGGTTTACCTTCAATGACGTTGATATCTATTATATGATGGGTATCAAAAGTTTTAATGCTTCCGTGAAAATCTTCGCAGTCTGCACAAAGCCCATCCTCGCAGTCTGTACAGTACTTTACAGCTTTGTTGGATCTACTTCTTCTTGAACAGGTTCCACAATACATATTTGGAGATTTTGACGACATATCCTTGAAAAGACAAAATAAATAAAAAATGTAATTGGCTTTTAAAGGAGCGCATTAAATATCCCTCTACAAATCAGTTAGTGTTGACATCATGTACAGATTAACAATTCGTAGATGTTATTGAAGAACATAATCATGCGTTAAAATTTCATATGGGTTTATGAGTGATCGTTTGAAATTTGAAAAATTTCCCGTTTTTCTTTACTGATTAAAATACCCATCAAACTCCAAATGTAGTGTGTGTTGTTGAGTAATGTGGACATTGCATGTAGAAAAGATACATGGTATTGTATGATTTAAACCGCGTGAAGACAAATAAAAACTACGTCATTTACAGTCCATGATTTTCATATAACACATAATTTTTCATATACACTATTTGAAATTTAAACAAATACCCGGAATAGTGGGAATTGTGATATATCATTCAACTTTTTTCTACTGTTACTGGGTCAATTATCAATTTATTTTCAACGGAATCGTGATATTTCAAAAGGTTGGTAACTGTTTGTAATTTTTGTTCTCACTCTTTAAGCAGATGTACATTCTTCACCAACTGGTGGATGGAAAAATTTTCCACTAGTCCTCGCCGTTTATCTTTGGACGTCAGAACTCATCTACTCGAGGTTTATAACACCACTTAAGACTGCTTGCACCAAATTTAAGTTTCCATATACCAAACTATTTTATTTATAGAGCACATGGTTGATGTCAAAACATCCATTAAAGGATTCATTTATAAAAAGTTGTGTTTTTTTTTCTCATAACACTTAGTGTATTTTGCGAAAACTAGACACGCAATGCAGCAATAATCCCTTGAACCACAGGTTGAAGTAGAAGCCGCATGGTTTCATGCATGACGAGGATCCCCGGAAATTCCGATTCATCAGTCGACACTCTGTTCACCGATTACATCAACAAATACTGGGTTAAAACCACTAGGAAACTAGGAAACAAATAGTAAATCGACAGAGAAAGGAGAACCACCTCGAAGTATCGTTGAACAGTATCAAGAGATAAGTCATGTATCACACCCAATTGTCTACAATCAACTCAGGCGCCTTTTCAAAAAGAAAAAAAAGTAAAATAACAAAAATACCGAACTTCGAGGAAATTTCAGAACGGAAATCATAACCGTAATCAAATGGCAAAATCAAAAGCTCAAACACATCAAACGAATGGATAACAACTGTCATATTCCTGACTTGGTACATGCGTTTTCTTATGTAGAAAATGGTGTATTAAACCTGGTTTTATAGCTTGTTTAACCTCTCATTTGTATGACAGTCGCATAAAATTCCATTATATTGACATCGATGTGTGAACAAAACAAACAGACATAATAGGTAAAAATGTCAAAAAAGGGGTAAAGCAGTTAACATTGCAAACAAACAAACAAATATGTAACATGCAGAGAACTGTTATGAATGACCTTTTTTACTAACCATTTTGTACTGCTTACAGTTTCTGTTTGTATACAAAGCTTTCAAGCTAAAATTGATTTAACATTGTCATTAAAGAACAAGAACTCCTTTAGAGTAAGTAGATATGAATATTTACTAGATCTGGTTTTTGGTTTTATATGGTTTTCAAGATATTAGACAAATACCTGTATTTAACTAACAAATGGTTACCCGTGAACCATATTTGAAAACAAATACATATCGTTCTATCATCTCACTTATTAAATTCTGTTTTCTATTAAAAATCACTTAATGAAATATAGTTTGTCGATCATTATACGTAATGGATTCGTAACGAATGAAAAAAAGTTCACTTATGACTTTTGTTTAGAACATATTAATGCATTTGTTCAAGTATATAAGTTCTTTCGCATTATTATCGCCAGCAACTCGTTTCATTAGACATTAATGATAAATCAAGTGAGCTTTTATTTAAAATGGTTCGTAGTTTAGGAGTAGATTAAAATACGTTAACAGACGACAGACAAAAACTAAGTATTATCAGTGCTTATACTTATTTATTTGCAGACATTTTTAAAAATCCATTTCTTCATATGTGATATATACTTTGGTTGATTAATTTCATAATTTGTGGGGTTAGTATGTAACTTAAAAGTTACCCGTAAGATATCTGTGTTAATTTAATGTCAGAGGAACCTTTTATTTTATAGTATTCTTGGTTTGATTAACCGGACATTTAGGTTAGAAGCTCAATTTACATTTTTATAAGTATTTATTGCTTAAGTACGATCGCCTTGTGAATATAGAAAAACTAACGAACGACGCATTTAAAACAAATATAAATTCTGTTGAAAAAGGGGAAATTACAGAACCTAAATTATTCCAGACATGTTTGTTATGATATAAGATTAAAAGTACTCAAACCTCCTTCTCTCTACTCAAAGAAGTATTTGTGATGATATGAAACAAACTTTTAAATTGAAGATAGAGCGTATAAAACATTTTTTTAATGTTATTAAAACTATTAACCAGATGAGGATTCAGGATTTTGAAAAGGGGGCATGGGGCTACCAAACTGGACAAAGTTTGGAGTGAAATAGGTAAAAAGTCTGCGCACCCCTCTCCCATCTAAATCTTCCTCTGATACCCGTGGACTTAATTGCAAATTATCAAGCAGGGCTGTAACACACATTTCGTTTGAAACAATTTTCGCGACGCGTAATAAACGATTGAAATAATCTACAAGTTAATGTAATTGCTTCTAACACTTTTGAAGCAATTAAAATAAATATAGACCGACATTGTGATGCACCATTTCAGTGACTGATACGACACAAGTAACTAATTATACCAGGAAGTATATCCTGAATATCGGTCTCGTTTTATTTACGTCTTTCTTTAACGTATTTCCCTATGATTACTAAACTTTTGCTTACTAAGTTACTTGTGCTTATTTTAAACACTAGGCTGCAATTATACACTTATATAGTAGGTTAATGACAGACAATTTACCTTAGTTTCGTAATTAATGTTATCACAGTACGCCCATGTATACAGTCAAGCAAGAAAAGGGTAGATAACTAGTAAATACTTTCTACCTGTACGTAACCCTGTGTTGATTCAGTGTGTTCACTATTCTACAACATTTGATAATTAGACTAAAATAACATTAGTGATTAGGGTTTCAACGTAAGGACTGGCATCTCGATATTCACATGTAATTCACCTGTTTCAGTTATCAACTAAAATATTGTTAAAAGGGGAATTGTTAAAAGATTTATTGTAAAATATTAAACATATTCATTTTAACAATTATTGGTTTTTCATATTAAAAAAAAAAACAGTTTCCCAAGATTTTAAAAGTCGATATAATCTAGCACAGTGGTGTAAATTTCAATTTTACTTTGTTTTTATATTTTTGTCTCTGTTTTCCATAACAATGTACTGAAAATTCAGAAATTATCGCATGCATTTATTATTTCGATTTTTGAAGAATGGACAAAAATGCAAGACTATTTATTGCGAGTTCAGGAAAATCTGCATACTTATGTAGGTACCAGATATCTGAATGCGAGTTCTAACTATTGCGATACCCACCTATCGCATTATTCGCTATAATAAAAACCTCGCAATAATTTCTGAATTTACAGTATTATTGATTACAATGTTATGATCCTGAATAAAAATAACATTTTATATTTTGAGAGCTTGCAAAAATTATAAAAGCTTGAGTTATTAAGCTTATATAGAAGTATTAAATGCTGCTTATTATCAAAGATATAGTATGTTCAAATTCTTAGTCAAATTGCATTAATTGTCCACAGCTTACGAATACTTGTAGCTCACAATTCACTAAGCCAGTTCCAACAGTTAAACGCCCTACAGCTCACGTCGTGATGTACACAATTTGCATTCTCCCTTTTTCGTGGAAGAGATATACGACTGACTTTTCCATCTGCTTAAAACAACATGCCATGAACACTGACTTCGGCTCTTATGATATACAGGCAGAACGACCAGGTAGACGATATACAGTTCTTCGCACTAGAAGACAACAGCTTTCGAAGACTATATACATAAAACTTCGTTGTTGCGCATCGTTTTAGATTTGGATATCTACATGTAACACAAATACAAAACCTTATCAACTAATAGAATAAATTACTGAAATGAGGTACAGTCAGTGAACATTTCGATTTTTGATGTTATTTTCAATAATCTTATTTTGTTTTGAAACTCATTTTGAGATTATTTTAAATTTCGGATAAAAATAATTCCGTAACATTTTCCGGTTAAATTCAACCAAAAATATATGAAAAACCGATGTTTTGTTAATGTTTTGTTAAAGTTGTAATATATATGATCTTTAAAAGAGGGACGAAAGATACCAGAGGTACAGTCAAACTACACCTTTTTAAAATATTTTAGTTAAGCAAACGTTGATTCGCATATAAATGTGTTATAGTCTATATATACTTGTAATTTCAATTATAAGACAATAGAATTAAATTAATCAGCATGCTTCGAAGATAAAATTGTAAGAAAATCGCCTTTAATTCAACATGCATGTTTAATAATAATTCGTAATCGCAAGTTTTAGCTTCGTAATGAAGGTATCACTGCTACTTTGGGATATGAAAAACTTCATTTCGTAACTAATTTTTGTAAAGAGCGTGTAGTGGTTTTGTGTCTTGAATTTACGAATCTCTTCTTTTCCATTTAGTCTATTTTATTCTGCATTGAAGTTTTGTATAGTAAGTTAAACTTTAATATAATTTGAATGCCTACTTTTTAAGACATCGATGTCATGAATTTCAGGTACATTCGATAAATATACTTTTAATTTTGAAAAACTGTCAAATTATGTCAAGTGTTTTTCAATAAGGTTGTCTACTTTTACCAAAAAAAAATAAAAAAATAAAAAGAACACATGGTCCCCATTTCTATTTTACAATCGATTGTGTACTATTTCATGAATATCACATGTGTAATAATTGCAAGGATGTTTTTCTACTTGCATTTATATTGACAAAAAGCGGTCCGCGAATTTCTGTCAGGGATATATGCATGATTTTTTCTACACATTTATCTTTCCGTACACTTGGTTATTGTCTTAAAAGTTTCGAATTAACTTAAGAACATATTACAAAAAAACCATATACAATATCACTTTTCGTATTAAAGTTTGTGTTCGACAAATTATTGAAATGTTTACCTCAAACAGGCTCAAATCAAATTTAAATATGCCGACAAGTAGCTCATGAAGATATGTTTTTTCTTTGCATATTTTGATATTGCATACTGTATAGAAATAAAAAGTGTATCAAAATTAAAAGGATAATACAACTTGATATAGTTTCTGTGTTGTAAACCTTAATCGTCAAGATTCAATTGATCAAATTAATGATGTAAATAAATGTACATTTGTCATGTCGGGGTTTTTATAGCCTACTATACGGCAAGGGGTTTCCTCATTGTTGAAGGACGTACGGTTGCATATTATTGCTGACATTAACTTCATTTGAACTCTGGTGAATAGTTGTTTTATTGGCAATCGTACCACATTTGGTATCTGAACAAAAATCCTTTATTTACATAAAGTTAATATCTTTTTGTTTTTTTTTATATTTTTTTTTTCGCTTCTTCACATTTTCACAAACCTTACAGAATGTTTTCCGTATGTTATTGAACCCTGGTAAAATAAACGACCAGCTTCCATTGCTATATTTAGGAACAAACCACATATAAGAATCTTTGAAATGGACAAGTTATATTTGATTGCGTCATTTCTATAGAATTCGAGGTTGAATTTATATATGTATAAGATTAGATGTGTGGTATACGTTAATAAAATGGCAACCTCATGACTCAAGATAATAAACACCTTCCAGATTGCAACATACAGTTTTTAATTTTAGACAAGTGTCTTTACAATATATAAAGCTATAATATGTTTAAGTAGTCCCTAGTCTATAAAAGTAATGAATAAATTTAACAGAAACAATCAAGCAAAAGTAATACATGTATCAGCTAACAATTGTAGTATTTTTGGTAATAATAGTAGCTAGTATTTATGTTTTGTAGAAATATATGGAAATTGTGTCCATGGGACACAGGTGATGCCCTCGTTAGCATAAACGGACATAACTCAAGAACGGTGACGCAACCCCGTTGTCTGTGTATTGTGGATTGTGTATAGGTTTCATAACATTTGTTTGAGGCAAACTAAATGGAAACTAAATTTGATACGTACGTACGGACGGACGGACGGACAGACTGACATACGGACAAGGGTAACACTCAATGTGCCCTCTGCTGAAAATAATTTCTATTTAGGGGCAATTGACTGCTTTAGTTGATTTATTTGTAGATCGTCTTTTGCTAAACATTTTTGTCCTTAACAGTTTCTCTCGATCTTTTATTGATTCCGCAAAGATTGGTAAAAATAATCATCAAGGACAATATCTCGTGTAAGGGTTAAAATAACAATTTTGCATTGTTAACCTATTAGTAGATCTTATTTTTCTTAACATTTTAACTTCACAATTTCTTTCTATGTATTATAGTATTCGCTAAAAAAACTTTAAAATTTGCAAACAATTTATATTTCAGGGGCATTAAATCCTAAATGGGTTGTCATACTTTTTTGATGATTACATAAGAGATAAATTTGACCTGTTGATAATATTTACCCTGACGGTAAACTAATGAAATGTTTGAGATATACGAAAAAGGGATTGTTACCCATACATTTTATTTTGAGCAACAATGTTTGTTGATGGATGAAATGGTTGTTTCGGAGAAATACATCTTTTTAAAGTTACGACGACGGATGACGGACGGACAACGACGACGGATACCAAGTGAAGACTAAAGCACTAATGACTTTTTAGCTATAACAAATTGTAGTGGTATCGTTGAATATTAAGGAACACATTCCAATAAACTGTCAGGGTTATAAATTGTAAAAAAAACACTATTATTATGATTTTTTATTATATACTTTTCTCATTACTAATTTTCTATGGCCAAAAAAAAGATTGAAATACTTTTTTTATTTCTAAAATACTAACGTATAAAGATATAACTTTTCTTCACTATAAAACTAACAAGTCTGTAATTTCTTATTACACAACATTACCAATATCTCACCGGCAGAGTAATTTGAAACGAAAAGTTTAGACAATCGTTATTGAAAGCCAATCCATAGGGTATATTTAGTCCATCATTTGTTGTTTTATAGTTTTAAAAGATTTAACTTTAAATGAAAACAGCTTAAGATTTGATGCTTTGTATTCCAGAAAATATACATTTCCTTTTTTGTCGCTTTTAACAGCGATCATGTAGTCAGTATCTTCAGCAGAGATTGGGACAACTGTTCAATCTAGTCTTACGCTTTTCAATGTTGATTTTCCTATATAAGCATGAGCATAGTAAAGTTGATTGTTTTGTCAAACTGATAAAGAGTGAACTGAATATTTCCTAAAATAAAGTGTCTTCCTTAAGCCACCGATCTTACTAATTATGGATATCTTGCCGTAACCACTTACAGCAATTTGGTCGTCAATAACAGCAATACCATATACATAAGATTCATACGTTGGTACTTAAACCAGTCGACCCTTCCTCATTGTAGCCATATCTACTACCTAAACGGACCTTAAAAGTGGTAGTGTGACCCATGCTGTATTAACATCTATTGTTTCCCGTCCATTTGAATTATTGCCAATTGATGGCCCTTGTCCGCCATAACAAATAAACTCGAACCATACATATTACACAGGAATAATCTGTTGTCCTTTGTCACACCTATCTCGACGATTTTTTCACCAGGCACCTTTAATTTCACATCTAGCTGAAGTTAAGTTGGACGCTTTCTCTACTGTTGCAGGAATTGCGCTTGCTGAACCTTACATGGTTTTTATTTGATATCAAGGAAACAAGGAATGCCTCTTTGATTTCAACTGAACCAAATGATTTTGCAACTGACTACAAATCGGACTCTTCGAATGAAACAGATAGATCTTTCTAGGACCACAGAAGTTTTTAAAAAATCATTAGTATGAAAGTTCAGTTCTTCTTTAATATTATTTATCAACATAAATATTTGACTCTCAGATCCATTTTTCGATACATATTCAAACTGTTCAGAAATATTTTGTATCTTTCTTCTTCGATCACAGATATTTTCAAGGTTGTCGTTTGCTTCATCTGAGAGGTCTGTATGCATTTTGTCTATTTCAAACATTAAAGCTGATTCAATTTTCTCAATGCGCTTTTCCAATCGTGCTCTGAAGTTTTTAACATCTTGCTGAACAGCCAGCTAACTATCTTTAAGATTGATCATTACCTTTTTGCTTTTATCTTCCAGTTCGTTTACTGCGGAACTTAATGTAGTGACATCCTTGACCATTTCTTCATACATGGCTGAACTTTTAACCCCTTTTTCCAATATGTCAATTGGAACCAACTTTACACATGAACGACAGCATAACGATTCATGGTCGGAGCGAAAATATTCTAAAACCATATCGGGATGAACTTTGCAAGATTCATTGACAACTAATGGTTCACCTTCAATGACGTTGATATCTATTATATGATGGGTATCAAAAGTTTTAATGCTTCCGTGAAAATCTACGCAATCTGAACATAGCACGTCTATGCAGTCTGTACAGAACTTTACAGCTTTGGTGGATTTACTTGGTCTGGAACAGGTTCCACAAAATATGTTTGGGGATTTTGACGCCATATCCTGGAAAAGACAATATAAATAAAAACGTATAAATGGCTTCTGAAGGAATGCATTTAATACTTCGCCACAAATCAGTTAGTGTTGAAATCATGTAGAGATTCACAATTCGTAGATGTTATGATAGAACGTAATCGTGCGTTAAAATTTTGATATGGGTTTATGAGTTATCGTTTGAAATTTGAAAAATTGACCATAATTCTTGAATGATAAAAATACCTATCAAACTCCAAATGTAGTGTGTCTTTTTGAGTAATGTGGACATTGCATGAAGAAGTAATTTTTCTCTACTGTTACTAGGTCAACTAGCAATTTATTTTCAAGGGAATCGTGATGTTTCAAAAGATTGCTAGATATCTGTATTTTTTGTGCGTCACTCTTTATGCAGATGTACACTTTACACATACTGGTCGGGGAAGAAGTGTTTTCACTTGTCTTCGCCCTTTTACATACCAGGTAAGTCAGAACTCATCTACTCGATATTTATCACACTACTCAAGACTGTTTGCACCTAACATCAGATTCACATAAAACATATAATTTCCTTTATTAACCACGTGGTTGATGTACAGGATGTTGCCAGAGTATCCTTTAAAGTATTCATCACATAAAAGTTTTTTTCTCATAAAACTCAGTGTATTTTGCACAAACTAGGCACGCAATGCAGCAATTTTTCCCCTTGTACCTCAACACGAAGTAGAAGCCGCCTGAATCTATCCATGACGAGGACCCGGGAAATTCCAATACTTCAGTCGACACTCTGTTCACCGATTACGTAACCCAATACTAGGTACCAACCAATAGCAACTATGAAATGAATAGAAAATCGACAAAGTAAGACGAGAAACCTCAAAGTACGGTGTAACAGCACGAAATATTTTTTAAGAAGGTAGTTCATGTATCACATCTAAACATATACATCTCACTCAAATACCTTTTGAAGAGGCAGTGAACAAATGACCTTCTTAACTAAGCATTTCGTATTGCTTACAATTTCTGTCTGTATACAAAGGTTTAATGCTAAAACTAACTTAACATTGTCGTTTGATGATAATAACTTCTTTAAAGTAAGTGGATAGGAATATTCACCTCGTCTGATTTTCTGTTTTATATGGTTTTCAAGATATTATACCTGCATTTAACTAACAAATGGTAAACGCATGGACAAAATTTAAAAACATGCATTTAGAACTATCATCACTTTTATTAAATTCTGTTTTCTATTAAGAATTACTGAATGAAATATTGTTTGTCGATTAGCCGTTATTGTATCGTGAGGAATGTAAAACAGTTTAAAGAGGGGCTTCTTTTAGAACATTTAAATGCATTGTTTAAGTTCTTTCACATTATTATCACCAGAAACTCGTTTCATATTACTTAAATGATAAATCAAGTGAACTTTTATTCAAATTGGTTCGTAGTTAAGAAGTAGATTAAAATAGTTTTACGACGACATACACCAAGGAAGAAAAAAATGAATATATATATTGTTCTCTCTGTTTAAATTTTATTTTTAAAGGATCTTAAATTTACACAGAATATTTCAAGTAAAGTCAATAAAGCCAATATTGTTCTTGATTTGATTAACAGGACATTTAGTTTTGAAGATCAATCTACATTTTAGCACTATGTATTGCACGACCGTGTTTGGAATATGAAACATCGTAATGAAACAAGCATTAAAGAAGAGATATCATTTCTGTTGAAAAAGGGCAAATGAGAGAACCTAAATTAATTCCTGATATGTGTGTTATGTTATTAAAGATCAAAAGTACTCAAATACCCTTCTCTTACTCACAGAATGAGTCGTGTTGATATGATACGAAAAAAATAGTGTTATAACTGTGATTAGGACTTATACCCTGATGCGGATCCAGGATTATGGAAAAGGGGCCAAGGGGCCAAGGGCCACCACACTAAACAAAGTTTGGAGTGGAATCGGTAAAATGACCTGGCATCCCGCCTCTGATATCCGTGGACTTAATTACATACTATCGAGCCTATATGTAACACAACATTTCGTTTGAAACAGTTTTCACAACGCGTAATAAACGATTGGAACAATCTGCAAGCTAGTGTAAATGAAGCAATTGCAATAAATATAGACCGGCATATGGAGACGTTGATGTACAAATTCAGTAACTGATACGAAGACACAATGAAATAACTTATTGTACCAGGAAGTTTATCCTGTTTTGACGTATTGTTCCATGATTATTAAATGTTTGCTTACTTGTACTTATTTTACAAATTGTAATTTGTGACTAAACTGCAATTACACACTTATGTAATTGATTAATTACTGTCAATTTACCTCAGTTTCGTAATTAATGTTATCACAGTACGCCCATGTATTCAGTCTTTTCAGTCTATGAAGAAATAATATAAAAAATGTGGTGTACACTGAATAACACGCGTGTTAATTCGTAAAGAGAAACTATATTGCAGTCGTTCCTTATATTTTAATTCTAAATTCCATGTATAAGGAGTAAATCATGAAAAAAACAGTAATGACGTCACGGTTTCATGACAAAATTTTGTCTATGAGCTGATAGACAAAAACTATCAGCCAATGAGAAGACATGTTACATCCAAAATTAAATTATAAGACATTAAAACTAGATATTACACATAACTGATTCGTATATTCCCAAAACATTGATATTGAGCCATCTAGGAATACGGCGGTTGTTATCAAACAGTCCCTTTCTATGATTGTTGGCGTTTGATTTTGTTTAAGTGCAGTTCAGTGTTTCTGTTGTTCCGTTGTTTTCCTCTTATAGTTGATGTGTTTCCCTCGGATTTAGTTCTAACCCGGATTAGTTTTCGCTTGATCGATTTATTACTATTTAAAAGCGATATACTACTACCTTTATTTATTTTCAAAAAAGCTGTTCGTGGATTTCTGTCGGCAATAAGTGCATGATCATGATTTGTTATCACGTTTATCTAATTTTTCCGTCGACTTTTTTATTACCTTAAAAGTTTATAATAAACTAAGGAACATTTTAAAAATAACCGGATTAGATATTTTTTTTTTTTGGAAAAAAGTTATGTATTTTTTCGACAAATTATTGAATTGTTGCATTAAAACAGAGTAAAATCAAATTGAATTATGCTGACAGGTACATGTAAGTCCGGAAGGGATATTTTCTTTCCATATTTCGATGGTGCATACTGATTTATGGTAATTTGTATCAAAATTTCGTGGAGAAACCAAACTAATGTAATAATTTTTGTATTGTAAGCCTTAAATGCAAAGCTTCAATTGATCAAACATACAATGTTTTGTACCTTTTTTATGTCCGTGCTTTTTATATCCGACTATACAGTATGGGTTCTTTTCATTGTTGAAGGACGTACGTTTGCCTATAATTGCTCACATTCACTTCATTTGAACTTATTTTTGTCTCATTGGCTATATTTTATATAAAGTAAATATAATTTTATTTTTTTTTTATTTTTCACATGATCACAAAGCTTACCGACTGTCTAAATATTTTTAAATATTATTGAAACATGATAAGTTAAAAGACCGGCTTCTATGGCTATATTTAGGAACAAACACATACGAACTGTTTAAATGGGCAAGTTATATTTCTGTGTGCAATTTGCATGCGTGCTTGAATTAGTATTAATATATTTCTCAAAAAAAAAAGTTGGGTATACGTCCATGAAACTGCACCAAACGACGAAAAATAACAAAACACATTCTATAGCGCAACATACAGTATTCAACTAAAACAAGTGTCTATACAATAAAACAAGCTGTAAATAGTCCACATTCTACGAAAGTTGTGAATAGATTTAACGGAAACAATCAAACGAAATATCTGCCACATCATGTTAAGCATCTTTGCTTATATTTGTTAGAATTTGAAATTGGATATGCGATATGAATGTGAGGGATGGCCAACCCTTGAAATGGACACTATTTACTGAGTTAAACATATTCCAACTGATTTTTATAACTTAGAGCATGTCATTCAGGGTTTGATTGGTAGTTTAAGTATATCATATTTGTTTTTCGTTTATTGTTTTGTAAATCAATCAGGCCGTACGTTTTTGAATTGTTTCATTTGTAATTTTTGGAGACTATTATAGCCTGCTTTGTGATATGTATTTTGTTTGATAGTTGTTAACTTATAACCCCGGTTTTTGGTGGGGTTTTTGTTTGTCAGTCTCCAGTAATCCGAAAAGATTTTTTATCTATGGACCCAGGGTCCCCCGCCCCCGCAAAAAAAATAAATCTATGGCTCATTTTTAGAAATAATGGGCAATGTTGTCAAATGAGTGGGTCATTCGTTTAACAACAAATTTAAAAAAAGTGTATGTTTCAACAAAGAGGTACTAACCTTTATGAGTTTAATTGATATCAGGGATATTGTTCCTGTGCTTTTGTAGTTTCAGTGAATAAAAGTAATTTTAGTTCATGGTGATTTATTTGGCCAAAGACATACAAAAAATATATTTCTCTGATGTAACTAAGAATGACATCGTATTTGTCAATGAAATGTAACGTTATCACTCAGAAATAAAACTTTTTAAGACTTATAATAAAAACTATAAAACAACAACATATGAACAGAAAACACAACAGAATCATAAAGAAATACTGAAATCAAAAATAGACATCTCATCTGGACTGATGTTTAAAACCTGTACTTTTAATTATTGAAAAATCTACGATATTTGATTAAATTTCATTCATTTGAGAGAACACGACACTTGAACATACAAGTATAATATATTATATAAATATCAAATCATACAGTACAATACACCATGTACAATCATAGTAGTAACATAATAGAAGATGAAAATAATAATTGTTACTCTGTATTATTATTGGGCAAAAATAATAAACTGGGTGACTAGAACTATTACAATGGCAGACTAAAAGTAGCTGATCTAGATTTTGTGGCACAAGATTGAAGAAAGAAGAAATTAATCTTAATGAGAAAAGTAGAACAATTAAATTCTAAGTTAGTTGAAATGATTTTTGGCAAGATTCACAATACATTTTGATGCCAGCATACAGTAACCAGGGCAAAAACTTTTCGCAAACTGGGCGATATTTACAAATATCTTTATTTACAATGTTAATTCTGGTACTGTCACCTTGGTCAAGTTCATGTTCTTTTGACATTAAATTTGGGTCTTCGTGGACTGCCAAACTTTCTTCCCGAAGTTCCGTATTATAGGATGTTGTATGCATTTCCTATGCATTTCTTGTATAATTATTATTATTTTATCGCAACCAAAAAAAGACAGAAGGGTCAGAAGACAAAACATATTAGCTGTAGGTGTGTTTACAAACTTTATAAACGAACCATGTTACAGACCATAAAAATTGACAATGACAGTTAAGCACCTCTTGTAGACAAATACTATATTAAAAAAAAAACCTTGGGTTTTCAATAGAAATTACAGCAAGATTACTTTGAAGATTATAATTTGAGAAAATTTCTCGTCCGTACTAGCCAACTTTCACAGAATTAAAGTTGTTTATTTTGAAAATTTAGATCATGGATGATGATTAATTACGTTTTTTAGGTAATCAGATATTCCGCACATTGATATCCTTAATTACATAATTGAAAATCCCGAGACAGCCAAGAACTGTGGGTGGTGCTCCTGTCATTGGCGGGAACACAAAAAAGTTTTGTACATTAATATGGTGACACGAAACACGATCTGAAATACATTTGACGATATCTAAACGTTTAGATACGCTGCGAAAAAGTGTGCGCCACACTGGCGCTGACATTGGTAACTCTACATGCTATATGCACCATTTCTGGTCCAAAAAGTGCAATATGTGCATGGCACTAGACCTTCCCAAACACTGGAATCTTTAGTCTTTTTGGCTGTGTGTTGTATACTGTTGTTTGTCATTTGGTCGTTTTTTGTTTATGCTGTGATGTTTACACTTTAAGTTATTTCCGACTTATGAGTTTGAATGTCCCTTTGGTATTTGCGCTTTCTTTGCGACGAAGATAAATATATAAGACGTCAAATTTAGTAACTTAAAAAACGCGAATTTGATGCATCGGAAACAAATGTTTGCACAGGCACTTGTTTCTATTCATGGGAAGGTCAACTATCCATATATATATAGAAGAAGGTGGCTAACGAAATTGTTTTAGGTCACGACCGTCTCTGCTTTGAACGCTTTTTGTAACCTTTTACTGAACACAAACAATCCCTACCTTATATGAATCGATTCATTGAATATTTTCTTCAACACTAAACATATTTTATATCCCCCTCAGTGTTTACCTTTATGGTAATCTAAATATTATTCACTTAACCATGGCGTAAACTTGTATTACATAATAATTTTCATATAACAGACTATTGGATAATTAATAATCGATATGTTCCCATCTGAAATCGACACTTATGTGGAAAACTGATATCGACATAGACGGACTACTGATTAATCTTTAGATTATAAAACACAAAATTGTTCATCTAACATGGAAACATAGTATTGATATTTTGTATTGCCTACTGCATCAATAAAAGGAAAGAGGACACCAAGAGAACAATAAAAAAACATCCGCTTTACAATTGACGTTTAATGGCCAAAATGAAATTTATTCATAATAAATTCTGCGGGCCTTAGTATTCCTTTCGTTTGTTTTTTGTTTTTGAAGATGGGGGGGGGGGGGGGGGTAATGCTGTGGTCTTGGGATCATGACTTATGGTTTTAATTGCCCAATTAAAATCTCTCACGTGTTCGAAGCTTCAATATTTTATTTTCTTAATATGTTATTTAGCGTGCTGTTCGTTATTTTAAAGCATTGTTTTTTATAACGTTAAAATTAGCTTTATACATTTATTTTAGCGATGTTTGGTAAACGCTTTTCAATCCTTATATTCTGAAATTTTGAACTGAATTGAGAGCTTTAGTTAAAACAAACTAATCGTATAGTGCAAGTAGACATTTTTTCAAGGCTCAACAGAATCTTTTGGAGATATTTTGGATATTTTGGATATTCCAGTGGAAAAGATTACATGAACATCCGCACGAAATTATGTCAATTTGATATGTTTTGAACACTGCTTTTCTCTTCATCGATACATTGGGTCATATTTGTAACATCCTAGTTCACAAAATAATTTTCTGAAGGATTTATTAATTTTTGGTGTTTTTACACTTTCAGCTTTATTGGCTAACTAATATTTTTGGTGGCCATGCATTTTTTTTGTAGAGGAAGCCGGAGTACCCGGAGAGAACCTACGACCTTCAGCAGAAATTAATACTGGTAATCCGTCATTTAAGATTTAACATTTTGACATTTATATTTTGTTCGTATTAAAAGCGCAAGACAACCAAAGACTTCACCTCCACAGTCAATATATTTGTAGAGCATGTTCTTAAATATATTGAATTGTAAATAATTTAGTATCACTTGGTATAATTTTATATAAAGATGTAACAATGATGATTACCGATGTTTTGTTTCAATTGGTTTTTCAGTTTCATTTGAGATATCCGAAAAAAAAATTTCGAAAAAATACGACAAAAGCATAAACCATCTTTTTTCAGACAATGTGAGTTAAACGTTCCAATACTCCAGTTTCCATGTTTGAGACACATTTCAATCGTGTCCGATTGACGAAAGGACAGTGTACTAAATTTATACGTATATTGACTTTATCTAGTAAAAAAATGTAGATATATCGTGTATTATCAAGGAACACCTTCCAATACAAACTAACATTATAATGAACAGCAATATTATTCTGAAATATTTGTTACGTTCTAGTATTTTAGACATATGTCTTTTGCCTGTATACACCCTTCTCCATGTCACTATTAAAGGAATATTAAAACTCAGTTGTATTTATCAAATTATGTAACTATCATTAATTTTCACAATTATCAAACTGTACCAATCAATCACTGTTGTGCACTCATCAAAATTTTTCTTCTTTACTACATTTTTCTATGGCCATAATAAGTTGGTATACTTTCCCCGACCTCATATAGGCATACATAACATACAGAGGTTTAATTTTCGTTTGCTATATAACTTACATTGTTTTTTATTTCTGATTACACAAAAATACCAATATCTCACCGGCAGTGCAATTTGAAATAAACAGTTTAGAAAAATCTTTACTGAAAGCCAAACCATATGGTCCTTTAAGTCCATCTTTTGATGTCAGTATAGTTTTAAGAGATTTATTTTCAAACGAAAACAGCTTAAGATTTGATGATGTTGATTCCAGAATGTAAACATTTCCTAATTTGTCGCTTTTAAAATCAGTCATGTTTTCAATACCTTCAGCACAGATAGACGCAATTGTTCCATCTAGTTTAACGCTTTTTAATGTAGATTTTCCTGTATCAGCCTGAGCATAGTAAAGTTGATGTGTATGACCAACTGAAATGGAGTAAACTAGACTTTTTCCAACCTCAAGTGACTTCTTTAGGTCACCGGTTTTGCTGATAATGTGTATTTTGCCGAACCCACCTACAGCAATTTGTTCGTCAATAATAGCAATACCATATACATATAAGTGAGAGTCACACGATGGTACTTTAATCAGGCGACGCTTCTTCATTGTAAGCATATCTACTGACTGAACGGACTGTTTTTGTGGTAGTGTGACCCATACTGTATTCTTGTCTTCCTCCATAGCTATTCCCCACTGTTTCCCGTCCATTTGAACTGTTTCCAATGTTTTGCCTTTGTCTGACATAACAAATAAACTGGAGTTAAAATGATTACACACGAACAATCTATTGTCTTTTGACACACTTATGCCTACAAGGTTTGAATAAGGTACACTAAATCTAACATCTAGCAAAAATTTAGATGGAAGCTTTATCTGTTGTTGCAAACATTGCGCTTGCTGAATCTTACATAGTTGGTATTTGACATCAATGGAAGCTTGTTTGATTTCAACCGAACCTTGTGATTTCATAACGAACTGCAAATCGGACTGTTTAAAAGAGACAGAGACATCTTTTTGTGACGACAGCAGTTCCTGAAAATCATTTGCATGGCAGTTCAGTTCGTCTTTAATCTTATTTATCAGCATAAATATTTGACTTTCACATCCATGGTTCGATATAGTTTCAAACTGTTCAGCAATATTTTGTATCTTTCTTCTTTGTTCACATATCTTTTCAAGATTGTCGTTTGCTTCGTTTTAGAGATCTGTATGGATTTTGTTTATTTCAGACATAAAAGTTGCTTCATTGTCTTCAATGCGTTTTAGCAATCGTGCTTTGAAGTTTTTAACGTCTTGTTGAACAGTCATCTTACTATCTTTAAGACTGACAGTTGACTTTTTCTTTTTATCTTCCAGTTCGTTTACTGCGGAATTTAATGTAGTGACATCTTTGACAATTTCTTCATACCTGGCTGAACTTTTGACCCCTTTTGCAGATACTTCAGTTGGAAGTACCTTTTCACATGAGCGATGAGCACTAGCCATACATGACCGACAGCACAACGTATCATGGTCGGAGCAAAAATATTCTAAAACCATATCTGGGTGAACCTTGCAGGATGTACTGACAACAAATGGTTTACCCTCAATGATATCAATATCTATCATATGGTGTGTATCAAAAGTTTTAATATTTCCGTGATAATCTTCACAGTCTGAACAAAGAGCATCCTCGCAGTGTGTACAGTACTTTACAGCTTTGTTGGATATACTTCTTCTAGAACAGATTCCACAAAACTTGTTTGAGGATTTTGAAGCCATTTCCTTGAAAAGACAATACATGTCAAATTTTAAAATGGCTACCAATTAAAGAGCGCATTATGTACCCTTCACGAATCAGTGATTACTGACATAACATAAATGTGCGATTAAATAAATGTTAGTGAACGCAAAAAAGCAGTGCATTTAAAATATTTCATATGGTTATAAGATTTACCATCAATTGAAAATTCGTCCACATTTCTTAGAATTGAGAATGGAGACACCAACCCCTCCAAAGAGCTGAAAATAGCCAAAGACCACCAATGGGTCTTCAACGCAGCGTTAAATATCCTGCACCCGGAGGCGGACTTCAGCTGACCCTAAACAATAATATATACTAGTACAGCAATTAAAAAACACACAAGACTAACAAAGGCTAGAGGTTCCTGACTTGGACAAGGGCATAAATGCGGCGGTGTTAAACATGATTTGTGAGATTTTCCCTATACATCTAGCCAATGTGGAATACACAAACACACAGCAATACGCACAGTAAAACTTAGTTTAAAAGAAGTCCGAGTCCGATGTTAGAATAGGTAACAGAAGAAACTAAGCTAAATGACAATGATCAACATAAATTAACAAAGGACTACTAGCAGTTACTAGCAGTTACTGACATGACAGCTCTAGACCGCAATTAAACTAATCTAAATATGAAAGTCAAGAACACTCCCTCCCGTTAGGGGTTGAGTATCATGCCTTCCCAAATTATACGTGAAGAGCATAACCCGAATCATGCCATCAACTGGTTTTAGAATAAATGTGTCTATTTGCGACTCTATGAGTTAATCACTGTTAATTCTAAAAGCCATCTTATAAACTTGACAACAGTATCATAACTATATCCCGTCTGAATAAGTCTGTTTGAAGGTTTGGTGATCTTTTGAGGTGAATTAAAGGCGACATTTGTGTGCTTTGTATAGAATATTTTAATTAAAAAATGGGATGTGATATACCTGAATGTTTAAGATGTCTGCACGTTTGCGAATGATGTCCTTAAGTCGATGATAACATTTTATCAAATTTTGACAAGATTGTGATATTGAAAACCCTGGTGTAATATTTTTCCAGTAATACAGATATTTCTTTCGTTCAAATCAAATATGCAGCTACATACACGAGAAAATCGAACAAGGGAAGGTCACCATCTAAAAATGTATAAATAACAATAGGAGATGAAAAATCATCTCTTTTATCGTAAATTTTAGTATAAAGCTTCCCGTTAAAGATACAGATATCAAGATCTAGTAAAGGGAAGTGTTCATTGTTAGTATTAGCTTTATTTAAAGTAAGTTCAAAATGTTCAAGAGGATAAATCTCTTTAGTGTACATATTGAAGTCGTCAATATTGAGAGCCAATATATCATCCAAATATCTAAAGTGATATTAAATTTTTGTATCAGATATTGTTTCGATGGGTCTTTGCTGATTTTAGTCTGTATTGATTAAACATAAAACTATTAAACTTGATATGTAGTTTGTCTTTCTGATGAGTGAGTGAGGACATCGTTTAGAGATTTGATTCCAGTTATTGAACTAAATACCAAATATATAATCTACATCATTTACACTCTGTGTTATTCAAATGTCACATAGGTTTCATCTCTACTACGTTAGGCATATACTGCATTTACATTTATAATACTAATAATAAAAAAGGTATGCTGTCCAGTAGTTTTGTTTATGTCTAGTAAAAGAGGGAAAAAAGATACCAGAGGGACAGTCAAACTCATAGATCGAAAACAAACTGACAACGCCATGGCCAAAAATAAAAAGACAAACAGACAAATAATAGTACAGATGACACAACATAGAAAACAAAAGACTAAGCAACACGAACCCCACCAAAAACTGGGGGTGATCTCAGGTGATCCTTAGTAAAAGGTATACAGTAACAAATAAAATTGAGAATGGAAATGGGGAATGTGTCAAAGAGACAACAACCCGACCAAAGAGGTGACAACAGCTGAAGGCCACATATAGGTCTTCAGTGCAGCGAGAAACTCCCGCACCCGGAGGCGTCCTTCAGCTGGCCCCTAAACAAATATGTATATGATAATGGACGTCATACGTAACTCCAAATTATACACAGGAAACTAAAATTAAAAATGATACAAGACTAACAAAGGCCAGAGGCTCCTGACTTGGGACAGGCGCAAAAATGCGGCGGGGTTAAACATGTTTTTTGAGATCTCAACCCTCCTCCTATACCTCTAGCCAAGGTAGAAAAAACAGACGCACAACAGTACGCACAGTAAAACTCAGTATACGAGAAGTCAGAGTCCGATGTCAGAAAAGGAAACAAAAAAAAAATAAACAAAATGACAATAATACATAAATAGCAACAGACTACTAGCAGTTACTGACATGCCAGGTCCAGATCTCAATTAAACTGATTGAAAGATTATGTCTTCGTCATATGAATATCAGGCACAATCCCTCCTGTTAGGGGTTTAGTATTATACCGTCATAAAATATATGAGAAGAACATAACCCGTGTCATGTTTGGTGATATCATCTATATTTTAATATTACCAACTAAATGTATTTATTTCATTTACTTTAATAGTGCATGTAAAAACTAATCATGACATACTGTTTGTTAAATCCATTTTTTCTTTATTAAAATATTATGTTTAAAAATTATGCTGGTTATTATTTTGCTTTTTCTGGTCGCCGTGATTGGCAAATTTAATATTTGTTTGTTTATTTGTTTGTTCGTATTGAATATTATGTGACTCATGTAAAATGCTTGAGCGTACTTGGAAGAAACGTGTTTTTTGAAAGTCACAAATAAAAAACACTAGGGGAATAACCTTTTTTTTGGGTAATGTGTGACTTTTAACGGGTTTTCATTTGTAGCTACTGATTTGAATTGCTCACCTGTTTCAGAGGTGAGAGACAGAAATGCTACACTGATCAATTTATGGTTGCATTCGTATTGCATTGCACTTTCGTAGATCTTGTAATGAAAAACGATTGTTGCTGTTTACAGTTTCTATCTACAAAGTTTTCAATTTAATTAACGTGTCCATTACAACCGGTTGCGGCTGAGTATTTATATATCCCATACAAATAAACGAAAGACCATCTTGACCAATGAATGGCATGTATTATCTGATGGGAGATGTCTAGTGATGACCATATTTCTACACCCAAGTGTATCCTTCGGTTTGTACAATTTTGAAATGTTTGTTTAGTCAACAAATGATCAATTGCTCTTAATAAAATAAATGTATATATACAAATCTAACTGCCAAAGCTATGTTTCTATAATAGAAAAACAACGATATTGGATATCCATCCATGACAAAAATCAATACATGCATTGCAAAAACAAAAGAAAACACACAAAAAGCAAAGGAACATCGACTGTTCTATCACTGTTAAACTTAAAGCGATGAATTGATTTGTATTCAGGACGAGAAATAATTCACTTATAATAAAATAATTAATATTTCTGTCTTTCTAGTACGATGCCCTGGATCAGAATGTCGTAGTTCGCAAAAAGATAAACAGTCTGCAATCCTACTTGGTCACATTATCAGAGTCGACTCATGGAGTGCTGAGTAGAGAATCAGCATTTCCTTTTTATCCTGTCATGTTCTTTGTTTTATGCTTTGTTTTCATTCTGGCAACTCTATGTTAGCTTATCGTGCTACTGTTTGCTTATCTCAGATATTTAATGTAATGTCTATCTGTTTGTTTATGTTGCAAACCCTTTTACTTTTGCTTTTAAATTGTTTTCCCCACACAAATGCATTCTTCAAAATAAACGTTTAAGCTATGCATGCAAATTATTAACTCTGGCTTTCTATGTTCAATCGTATCTGCGCATGGATGAGGATCTGGATGAGGTTTGCAGAATAGAGAATAATGGGCAAACAGTGCAGAATAAAGGGTTGAAAATATAAAGAATAGAGAAAACAAAATAAAGGGGTGCTCAAATATAAAGAATAGAGAATACTGGGCTAAAATATAGATTATAAAAAACTGACCGACAAATGTCAAGAATATAGACATGAAGGAACCCCATTCAAACTTGCATGTGTTGTTATGTATTTATTGTTTGAATTGCATTCGTTTAGTTGATAATAAAAGGTCTCAAGAGATTATGTTTTCAATTGCTTTATTCATGATGACTTTTAATAAAGCTTCATGTAAGTATATGTAGTTTGTAGAATAATCAAATTAAAACACATACCCCAAAACTTTCTACTGAACCGCCCTTTTCTTCAAATTATTGTACAAGGAAGTATATCCTCGAATTATTTACGTGTTTTCTTTAACTACTACTAGACTGCAATTTCACAATTCAATAGTTAGTTATATACATATAACTTACCTTATAAGTTTCGTTATCAATATCATTACAGTACGACCATGAATTCAGTCGAGCGAGAAAAGGGTAGATAACTAGTAAATATTTACTACCTTCACCTTAACTTTATGTATCTTTGTGTAGATTCGCATAGATACATGTGTTTTGGTCTATTTATAGCTGTTATAATCAGTAATAAGACATTCAGACTAATCAAATCAACATGATTCGGTCATAACATTGGAAGAAAATCGCCTTCAAGTCCACATCCATGTTTTATAATATTTTTAAATCGTAGAAGCATAATATTTGTTATAATGCACTTACTTAAATCGATTACAAGGATTAATTTAGGGAAAAAAAACTTTTGGTAAAAAACCCTCATAAGTCATTAACATTTCAGTTTTAAATTATGATAATTTTCAGTCAAAAGATCTTTTGTGAAAAAAAAATATAATTTATAATTGATCTTGCAGTTGGTGAATATTAGCTCCGTAACAGAGGTATTATTGCTACTTTGGGATATAAACAACTTCTTTCCGTAACTGATTTGTTTAAAGAGCTTGTAGTGATTGTTTTGTCATAAATTTACGAACCATATCCATTCTTTTGTATGACCTATCAAACTTAGGGCAATTAATCTGCCTACTTTTTTCCGACATGGATGTCATGAATTTCAGAGATACTTTATGCATATTTTTAATTTTGTTATACTGTCAAATTCGAACTACACTAGAGCCTTGCGGTTCACACTATTATGTTATAATATAAGGGATTATGTAGCAGCGTGTCAAACATATAAGACTTTATTGAAAATGTTTTGACTAAAAGTGCAGCTAGGAGTTTCTTCAAGGACACACTATTCCAAGCCCTAACGACATAAAATAAAACCAAAGGCATAATGAGGTTTACGCTTGGTCTTCATTAATATACATTGCTGATTTGTATAGTTCTGTTCCAAAACCAGATCTAATATTGAGTCATCTATAAGATTTTTTGTTGTGAAATAAATGTTAGAATAATGAATTTAGGATGGTGATATTATCTCATTCAAAGTATGTTTAAATGACAGTAGAGCCTTCTGTAATAGTTATCCCACGAGGACACAGTGGTCAGTGTAAGATCACCCCGATGGCCTTTGTTTTAGATTAGACGAAAAACCATTTACAATTCATAAAATCTAGTTTAGAACGTCACACAGCCATTATAATATACTTTATATATTACTATATAATATATACCCTTTATGACCCCCGAACACGATGTTTAAACCATTTCAACTCGCCCCACTGGCCAATCGGCCCACACTTAATCGCCATTTTCTAAAAAAATCGCCCTACTCTTGTTTACCAACTCGACCCACTTATGAAAAAGGGTTAAGCCTCATTGAACAATCAGTCTGACAACTCGCCTTATTTATGAAAAGGGTTGAAATCCCACTGAATAAAGGTCTACTAATTCGCCCTACTTATGAAAATATCTTGCTTCCTTTAAATATGTTAAATTACCGAGAGTTTGTATCCAGTCGTCCTGGTGTAGGGTTGATTTGCTAAAGGTTTTGGGTTCGAATCCCAGCATAGACAATGGATTTTTTCTACATAAATTTCGAAAGTGTGTCTTTTCTCAATAAATAATTCTTAGTTTTATTGTGGATTAGGCATTCCCGCCAAAATGTTTCAAAACAACAGAAAGCATGCAAAACAAAGAAACTCAAGTTTGGGTGATCTGGCAGGGATGATCCGTCTGAGATCACCCCTGATAGAAAAAAGGATGGGATTTAACTTAAACCATTGTCGTCACGTCAGCCTATTCATTTATCGTGGATTCTTTCTAGAATCAACGCTTCCTAAATCTGTCGCTTAAATGGACACACCAAATTACATTCAATTGTTTCCTTTGGGTGACTAATTTTATTAAGTTTGAATTGGCGAATTTTACTGATTTCAGTTCACTAATGGAATTAATTTAAAAACTTACCTTTATTTTTTGTAGTTGTTATATACCTTCACTGGGAATAAAACCCCTCCTTGAAATCTGCAATGTGTGACTGACATCAACACATCGACGAAACCTCTCGTCTACCAATGGGTTGCAATTTAAATGTCTAGTTGATATATTTAAATGAACATATGTTACAAATCCATACAACGGACACACAGGGCTTGTACTTATGTATATATAATAGACCATCGTACAGTATAAGCTGGTAGCCGCGAGGTAAACATGGTTAATACGAATGATTTAAACGATCAAGCTAAAGGTAGAGCCTTGTCGTTATAGGTTCGAATCCCTGTATTCTCTTTGTTTTTCAGTTTTTCTTATTTCGTATGTTACTATGGATATTTTGGTAATAATAGCGTCTTTTCCCCTTTATTTTTGTATTATTATTGGCCATTTTACATAATTGAAAAGAAAATGATTACATTCAATTTGTCCATTTTTGTTTTATAAAAATAGTTTACTTTCATCTGTTTTACTACATATCTTTACAAATACTGGTAAATCGTGATGTGTCTGGAATAAGGCTTTATGATAGAATTTTTAGTAACATACTTATTATATGTACTTAGAAATAAGTTCGAATTTGTCTTATTTTGTAAATTACGGATGATATTCAGATGCCTGATAATGTATAGACAGACGTGTTATGTTATATTTGTATTTCTCTAAACAATTGATTGTGAACATAGATTCATTAATGCATCGTTGAACATGATAATATGGTTATTTAAATTCACTTACAATACCATATAATTAAGAAAAGGCTTTAATTTTGATGAGATTTTACCACAATAGTTTAAGTTATAGATACAATGAATAAGCGTTGATTCATGAAAAATAAACCATTCGCTCGCCGGGATCATAGTTTCTTTTACAAGAATCAACGCTTATTCATTTTATCTATATCAAATATTAGATAAATGCGTTATCAGCATGAAAATATAATATCTGAAACTTAAAGTAGTGGAAGTAATTTTATTTGTTTTCAACAAATAATTGAAATGTTAACCTTGAATAGACAAAAATCAAATTGTATTCAATTATATAACGACAAGTAATTCAAGAAGGTATATTTTTCTTTGCATATTTCAGTAGTCCATATTGTATTAAAACGGAATTTGTATCAAAATTAAATGGCGAAATCAACTTGATATTGTTTTGTAATGTAAGCCTAAAACACCAAGCTTCAATTGCTGTAACACACAATGTCTTGTACTTTTTTTTATGTCGGAGCCTTTTATAGTCTTCTAAAATGATAAAATTCATATATTTTGATAGGAATAAAAACGTTGCTACATTTTTATTTTCACAATGCTTACCGAATGTGTAAAATATTATGCTTTTATGGCTATATTTAGAAACAAACACATGCGAGTCTGTTTAATTGGCTTTCAAGTATTTGGAATTGAGCTATTCTGATGAAGGTAAATCTAGAGAAGCGCTCCGGACGCATTAAATTTATAACGTGTTGTTGTCATTTTTTATTTTTGTTCGTGTGATTTATATTCGTGCTTGAATTTATATATGAATAAAAGGATATGTAGGGTCTATGGCAATGAAACAGCAACACAATGACAAAATATAACAAACACATTATAGATATAATTATATGAATATAGTTCCTAGTCTATAAAATGTGTGAATAAATTTAACAGAAACAATCAAACAACAGTAATATCTGCCACATGTTGAAAAGTATATTTTCGCTCATGAAAGCTAGTATTTGAAATTGAATATGCGATTTGCCTGTGAGAGAGGGTCATTCCTGGAAATGGAAACGATCAGATTTGCATGACTCTTTCCAACTGCTTTTGATTGTTTTTTCTTATGTTGTGCTGTAACGCCACTGTCTCAGGACTGGAAGATGGTTGGGCACCAACAAACATGTTTAACCCCGACACATTCTGTATGTGCCCGTTCCATGTCCGGATCATCTAATTCAGGGGTTGTCAATTGTTGATGTGTATCATATTTTTTTTATTGTTTTGTACATAAATTACGCCGTTAGTTTTCTCATTTGAAATGTTTTATTGTCATTTTGGAGCCCTTATGCCTGCTATGCGATATGAATTTTGATCATTGTTGAAACCATAAAGTGTCCTATAGTTCAACCTTCGGTATTTAGTTTGGTTCGTGTTTGTCAGACTTTAGTTTTCTATGATGTATATTGCATACTGTTATTTGTTCTCTGGTCGTTTTGTTTTTGCTATTACAATGTCAGTTTAAATCGTTTTCGACTTATGAGTTTGAATGTCCCTTTGGTATCTTTCGCCTCTCTTTCGACGTCATTTTATCCCCTGCCACGTGCCGGGTCGAACTCATATGTACAATATATGAACGTCATAGACTACTCGACCATCAAGGCCAACAAAAGACATCCCCCTACCCGGACACATTATCCTGACCCAGAGCCGACCATTCTTTGCTATATGAAACGACGATAAGACAAACAAAACAATACACAGAAAACAAAATTTAGAGCAACATGAATAAGTCTAAAGACGGGGGATTATCGCAGATTCACTTAGAAGGTGAATATATCCTGCTACACTGGTTTTGACTGTCATGTTGCTCATTAGAAATAAATTCGGCGATAATTCGTATTCACTGATACTGCAATGGGAGAAAGGATTCCAATAACAAACTATTAATCTTCGCCCTCAACTTTACAAAAGTGTTGCGTTGTTTATTAATTTTTCACTGCATTTTTTGTATTAAGTGATTTCATGACATGAATCCAATGATTTCCGTACTACTCTGACATTTATATAACACAAGACATCTAAAAACCTTATCTCTACAATCAATATATTTGAAGAGTAATTGAATGTAAAGATTGTAAATATATTGAATTGTAAAGACGACTGTCAAATTTTATATTTCTTCTAATTTTGGTATAAATTTATATAATTAAAGATATATCAATGATGATGACTGATGTTTTGATTCAATTGGTTTAACAGTTTAACAGGGCTATGAACAGACTGCTTATATTTTCATGGAAGTTTTAAAACTTTGATACCCATAATATAATAGATGTCAAAGTCATTGAAGGTAAACCATTTGTTGTA